TATTTACAACCACAACGAGTAGTGGCCGACGAAATTTTTCAGAGACACTATCTATATTTCACGAGTATAAATATTATATTATAGTCGAGTATATAATATTTTGTGTAAGTTTGTGTGTGTGCTTTTAGTACGTTTAATATTATTATATACAAACGATTTAGAATACGAGTTTACCATTCCCCGACGGTTGTGTGTTGATTGTATTATTGTTATTGTGAGGAAAAAACGCTACAACAATAATTTTTGATATTGCTGTTGTTCATATTTTTCGAACCAGTAACGGGACATTAATTTTGCGTTACCCTCGAGTATAGATCACCTACGATGACTCCGACGAGTATTATTGTACGCGAGTAATTTAATGAATTAAAATATCGAACAACATCGTTTTCTCTGCTCGTCTCGAGCGCGTCACGCTGCAGTATAATGGTGATCGTGCATAAAAGCTATATCAATAATGCACTTATACGTACTTTGGCCTTAGACCGTAATTTTATTGTTACAGTTATATGAAAATTTCACATTTACATCGATGATGAGACTACTCTAATTGCAGAGTAGATACTTTTAATGTTATGTTTAAGGCATCGAGTATTTTAGTTTACACGACAATGAAATACTGTCGTCTGAACCGAACTGATCCTTTTGTTTTTTTATACCAGGAATACGTCTTATATTGATAGTTTTACATTATTAACTATTTCATATTTGTTTGATAAGTATTCAAAGATTTTTTTTATGATTTATTTTTAATTTATTCAATAGATTTTAGTTGATATAATATTTTGTTTTATATGTATAGGTACCTACACAATAGGTAGCTTACCAAAACGCGTAAGATCAATGAATACACTTATTGAAACATTTCATTCATTATTGATTGTACAATTCACTACTATACGGGTAAATCGGACCTCGCGTGTATATAGTTGTATGCTATGAATTACACATTTAAAAGTCCGATTTCATCTTACACGTAACACAAATCAATAGTTTTAAAGCAAAGACAAAATTATCCATCAATGACTATCATAATATATGGCTGTAAAATGTAATTTCCAACGGTACACACTATATAGTCATTACCGTTAGTACACATACCTACCACCAGTTGTGTGGCGTCGGCTACCCATGTCTCCTACAAGTCGCAGTACTCTCAAAACAGGACTACAACCGCCGACACCTATTGTTCCTGATTGTAGTGATAATCCGTGTTTGTCCAAAAGAGTCGCGATAGATGTCTTAAATTAAAATATCAATAGGACGATTGTACAGTTATAATTTTTTATAGGTAAGTTAAGACCATTTTTCGACCATACCACAAGAACGTTTAAAATTATTGTATAGTTCTTACATAAAATACATTGTTTAATTCTGAAATAAAATATAACTCGATCCATATCATATAATATGTGTTTACTTGGCGCATATTATGATAGTGTACCCGTGGAGAATAAAATATAATAATACTAGATTCGCGCTTGAACCGAAAACGGAACCGCGGCGAGAGACCACGTATCTACCTACTATCTACTATACACGCTACACGGATACACAATTATAATATGCAGTAGGTAGGGTATTGTGCATAATATATTATATTATACTATAATATAGTGTGCGTAGAGCGTATGCATCGTAATAATAGGTATTGCTAGTAGGTATAGTGTGTGTGTACATATGCTATTTTATAGAAAAAAAAGAGTCGTCCCTCAGACCGTAAATATACTTTATGGTCGTTTTTTCGCCTTCTTCGCCGAGCAGTGCCTCCATACCATATTATGGCCGTGTGGCGTGTATAATATTATTATATTCAATATTGCCATCGCTGCACTGTCCGCGAATACAATAGGGCCTAACCTAATCCAACGACGTGGCGTACATAGTAATATTTATATATTATATAACACATAGCATATAATATTATGCTTATACTTAGGTATATCGTGTATTCGTGTAGATATATGATGTGTATAGGTCTAAGTATCAATGGTACAGTAATAGAGTACCTGTATACACGCGCCATCGACTCTATCACTGCACGCGCGTTATATTCCTCGGCCATTGCAGCTCTATCTTTGGCCGTCGCACCCTTTCCTGTCCTACACATTTCCCATATGTTCGTACAATATAATATTATGTATATGGGTATTATGTTATTATAATAGTGTCCGAGTACATACTCCTTCACGTCGTCATCGCGCGTGTATATATAATATATAGGCACATAGTATACTATAATAGTATTTATATTATTATATTTGTACAAACGCGGCTCGAGCTGATGGTATATACTGTAGCGAGACGCGACTTGTGCTATTATATACATGTACAACAGTATTATTATTATTATTATTACATGCGCGTATAATATTATATTATGTGCAGTATACATATATTATAATAATAATATATGATACAAAATATATATACGACGGTCTAGGGAAACGCAAGTGTTATCGTAGGTCGTAATACTGATATGTGGTTCCGATAGTGGAAAACGGTTTCTACACTAGTTACGAATTTACGATTCCATATAATAATATATGTACATATAATATTCAACATTTCAACTTATCCGTATATAACTAGAATAATGTATATAATATTATATAATATATTATAATATATTTATGACTTTGCATACGCGCGTGTGTAGTGACTACGTATTAAATGTAGATAAACAGGGTACATAAGAAATGACTGACGAATAAAATTAACTCAATATGTAACCGAACCCATCGGCCAACTTACATAGTTATAACTTATAGCTGACTACATTTGGCGCTGTTTTCTGTTACACCCTGTATAAGTACCTATGCGCTACTGTTGAAGGTTAGCTGGCGCCACCGCAATCGGTAATATCGACAGCCCGGCTATTAATTCATAAGCCACTAACTAGTAACGTGTGCCTAAAATGTTAGTACCTTTAGGTAATAATATGTACATTATCGTATATTTAATTTTCAGAAGAGAAAAGTTTCAAAAAGTTTTTTATACTTTAGTTCGTGCTTATGCAAGCAGCTGACTCAAGTTTTTACTTTTAGAGGTGTGCTTTGTCCGATCAAATTATTTTTTATATATTAGCCTGCAGGGGATTGTTATGTATTCTACCGTTTTTAACTTTCGATTCTGATTTATATTTTGTTTGTTTTTTGTTTGGATGGCGATTACCGAACAAGGCTAAATATGGACCTATTGAAAATTAAAAATAATACGTTTAACTGAAAGCTAGTTTGGAGCGGGTATTTGTGTAATTTCACTGCTTCATAGTTCATATTATATTATATCTTATATTCGCTTATATATACTATTATAAACGCAGAATTAAAAAAAAATTGGACATAGACGAGAGTCGAACACGTCACGTTAGTCTCATAAAAATGTTTTACACGCAGACCATTAGGCACCTACAAAATTATTGTACCTATAAAAACTTTTTTTCGTGATTCTCAACTTATACTTGCAACTAACAATATTGATAGTATACGATAATATTATATGTGTCAGATAACATGTAATTTGTACCACTTAGCTATTATAGTTCATAGGCGTGCGCAGACTTTCATTGCAGATGCAGCATATAAAATTAAGCAGCCCATTTTTTAACAATCGGCCAAATAAATGTTAAATAGTCAAATACACAGGCAGTGTTATTGTTACCTAAGTGGGTATAATAATATCATTTTTTTTTAACAATTAACAAATGTTCACATACAAAATTTAAGGAAACATTTGTTCACTGCTTTTGAAAACACCAAGTTACAATTACTATCAGACTTTATTAGTTATATTACCTACATAAAATCATAAAATACTTAGTCAATTTATTTTTTAATAATTAAATAAAATACATTGTACATTGAAATAGGATTATAAATAAAATGATAATTTTAATAATAGTAATAATTCCCAATTGTTTTTTTATTATAAAACAAGTCTTCTATCATTTGGTACCATTAATTTAAACTGGTCAATGACTTCATTTAATATTAACATTTGCTGTCATTTTTTGTTCAACAAACAGAAACAATAATGAATTTAACCTATCCTGAGACATTGTGCTTCTTAATTCATTTTTTATGATGCTTAATTTTGAAAAAGTTCTTTCACATGAACAGCTGGTCACAGGTATTACAACAAAATAAATATCCTTAATACTTGTAGAAACTGTTTGAAAATATCGGCTATTTTTAGAACGTACCTAAGGTTTTCCAGCGGAAGCGGCCGACGCGCCAGCTAGCTAGTAGAGCTAATCTGCTAACCTCTACCACCTCCCGGCCGACGACAATAATCAAAACATTGAATATATACATTGTATTATAGTTCCTAATTTCCTATACGTTTTATTTTTATATATTTTTGTTTAATAACATATTAACTGATAGATTTGTCTACGCTCTATTTTAAAAATAATTATATTATTTATGGTTCACATCAATTTTATTTACTTATTAATTATTATAATTTATAATAAATTATTAAATAATGAATTGCCCCGACCGGCCCATAGACTAATCAATCGGCCCAAAAAATGTGGCAGATGCAGCATATGAACCTTCTGCTGCACCCGTGCGCACGCCTATGTTATAGTTATTTGTATGATGTATTGGCGTATTGCACACCATAATATATAGTACCTATATATTATATTATGTTATTATTTGTATATTTAAAAATGGGCTCATTTATTATCTAAGAGTTATATACTTTATACTCTTGGGACGGATTTATGCAAACCACTTGTAATTTTTTCATACTTAATTGTTCTTGTTATTTTTTTCTAGAAATGCATCAGTCGCTGGAATACAACGTGGGAAATGGAAGGCGGCGGTCGGTCGATCCACACAGTGGACAAACCGATAACTTGGGCAAATCGTCTTGGTAAACAACAGCGACGAGTGACGACGACACAACCGTGACGATACAGTTCTCAGATATTTAGCAAAAAAACTTTATATAATAATATATTAACCAAAGTCGATCCCTCTTAAAGTGACATGGAGACCGTCACCTTTGCCGAAGAAGAACTGACCACTATGAAGTACGTCAACGAGTCGAACTTGTTTACGGTCGAGGAGATAAACTCATTTTTTTTTTACGAAGTGAGTTGGTGCCGATTAAAATCGGATATTTTTTACACATATTTCGATTTAAAATAAAATTCAAATGTATAAATGATTACGTTAGGTATATTATACGAGGGTATATACGTTATATGCATAAGCAGTGATAGACTTGGGGGGACGCAGGAGGACTGAGTACCCCCAACTAATTTTTTAGAAATTGTAAGAGTGCTCCTACTATTAGGGAAACGCACAGGACGCTTCATCATTCGGCATTTTGATAAAAATTCTCGAGATATACCGCATTATGATTTGTCTTATGGATTATTATTTATTTCATAACCACGGATCTATAAATTAGTTAATATTAATTTATTTTAATTAATAATACGAGCTGTGCCCTTTTAACATTGAACATTACACATTTGTGATTACAGAAGTCGCTATAAAAGTAGTTATTAATATTAACTAATTAATACTAAACTATTAATTAATTTACTTTTATTATCCTTTTGAGTTTGTTTCCGAGTCGAGCACTAAGTATAACCTAGGTGAAATAATGATATAACTTTCCTCCTCCATACGAAACAGTAAATATGTCTTTATCAGGGACGTAATTAAGGGGGGTGAGGGGGATAGATCCCCCCCAGAGCCTTCATAGTATTATATATTATATTATATACTCACCAATGTACTTGAAAATTTAATATTTTGTGTGTAAAAAAATGTATATCCCCCCCCAGAACAAATTTCTAATTACGCCACTGGTCTATATTATATATACCTATGTAATATATACTATTATTTACGTGGGCAGGAACCGGTGTTCCGACACGGAGAATTACCCATTGGTACTATTGATTATCCTAGCGGCTGGAGCAGACACCGGACGATTTAAAATAGCAAATCCTCGTGAGACGCCGTACATTATGTGCATACCTACATATGTATACAAAACATATTAAGTATATTATGTGATGTACAATAAACATTAGAGTATGTGTCGGATTATATTTTATAATAAGAATCAACGAACAAACGGATAGCGGGTACGGTATTTACGTTAAAACGATAGAGCTCTATATAGTCTCTAGAGCGTCTTTACCCGTGCACCTATATAATATTATACCTACATCGCGGCCATTATCGTATGTTCTAAATGCCGCAGAGCCCCGTTCGATATATACATATTGCAATATAAATACTACGATGGAAACCGAATTCGTAAGACACATAAAACTATACCGCCTTGTTGGATTTATGTTTATGCTACTGCTGCTTTCGCTGACACGCACACGCGCGTATACTCAAATAGTTTACGAGTCCTGCGAGACTGGAAACCGATAAATTTCTATTTCGGATTTACCGATTTTTGATATTTTTTTTTCGATTTTGATCCCAATTTTTAACACCAGTTTTCGAGGAATTGGAATTTCAATTACGATTTTTTATAGGCTATCTATCCACCGGTTTTCGGTTTTTTTTTTCCCCGGTAGCAGTTTCGGCTTTGATTACCGATTTTCATCCTTTTTTATGGACCGGTTTTCAGTTTTTTCATCTATAGTATAGCGGTTTTGATTTTAAGAATATCGGTTTCAAGCCCTGCGTAACACGACTCTCTGCAAGCCCTGCCATCACTTTTAGTATGCAGTGGCGTAACAAGATCATACAGCCGTTTAGTCGTATATATTATTATTATACAGCCATACAGGTGGGTCACGGAAATAAATGGACACAACTTAGGTTATTACGTATTTCAGACTTACAATTATTTTATCGATATTTAATTACAAATAAACACGTACCTATATCGAGCATTGGGCGTTGGGAGTCAATGTACATCCCTAAAACGTGATATTATGAGGCTGCCGGGGAACATCTTGCTGAAGACGTTCATATTGTGCGATGATAGTGTGAGGAGGTGCCCCATCTTATTGAAACCAAACACCCAATGGTAAAACAAAATAGGCACTTTTCGCGTGAATAGGTTTTTCTTTCGCGGTCGTAATACCGTTGAAATAAATATCACACTTTTTACGAAATATAATCATTTACCAAACACCGACGAACATTATACCTCCGACCGTTTCGATAGTGCCCGACGATAATATTCGACACAGCGGCTGATGTTTCGTATAGGTATACATCAACTGTAATATGCAGAGTGATTTACTTCTTTTGAGAAAATTTAGTTTGTATTACCCAAGGGAGAATGAATATATAGTTGAAAATACGGTCATTAAGATACTTAAGTCCTGAAAATCTGAATACGAATAATCAATGTCAAATGCCAATGATGGGTTATCAAGTCTTGGTATTATGATAGCCACAATTACCTATATAATATAATATACTGCAGGCCCACTGCTTTAATTGCGTTAATAGATTGATGATTTCCATTTTGCGGTTTTTGAAAGACATTGTAATATGTATATGTCCACCCGATCGTTCTTGATAGAGGTGCCCACTGGTGTTGCATCGCACCCCCAATTTATAGTCCGTCCGTCATACTGATTCCTCAACCATTTCGCGTACACAGCCAGTACGCCACCTGTAACCGGAAATGTCTATCTTTTATACATATTATAATACATTATTATATAATAATATAGACGAATCGTTAATCGCTGCTAAATATATTATTATTTTAAACCTGGTATGCAATAATAATATGCTCGTATCATATCTCTGCCATAACTCCGTGTCTCCGTTGTTATAATATAATATCATTATCTTTTAAGTCAATCGCGTTGATTACATCGACAGTGAAGTATATATTATTATGATATTACGACGACGATCATATGATTGCATATTAGGAGATGCTCGTGAAACATTAGTCATTTGACACATAATATAATATGTACCTACACGAGTATTATATATTATAATTTATAATATCGGATTGTGTCAAATCGCGATGTATGTGCTTATATAGGTGAAAATTGGGTATAATATATGAATATATGTATATATATTATATATATAGGTCACAGGTTCGTCGATATACAGTTTTAACTCTAAAATATAAAAAAAAGTCACTTGAGATTATAATATAATATATAATACGTTGTTCACATAAGTTTCAAAAATAAATCACACTATTACAATATTATATTAAATTACTTAAGTTATAATCTTAATTTATAAAAACACACATCATTGTAAAATCAAAACATTCATCGATCCTCTCAGAATCTAAAATGATGTTGCTCTCCATCTCCACCGACCACTATCTCGATGGAGAGCTATGCTTAAATGAGATAGATTAATCGAAAATGTATATAATATTGTAAATAAAATCATATAAATATGTTTTATCGAAAAAAAAGTATATATTTATTACTGACGCTTCATCGAAATATTCTTGTAAATCCTGAAATAAACCTACTATAGGTACCGCTTGTTAATTTTTTCGGTAAAATACAATTTAGAACGGACCTTAGGAGCAACATTTTTAGTACCACAATATTGACACTCTCCTATTTTTTCGACCAAAGTTTCCAAACTCTACTGTTTTTATTATATAATAGGTAAAGGATTTGTAATTTGTGTATATTATTTACTGACCTAGTGTAAGGGTGTTATCCATATTTTGTGTCAGGTTAATAATGTTTTATAGATTGTCATTTGCTGTTATTTTATTTTTATTTATATAATAGCTAATATTATGCTCTAACCATTCATATCAATTATTATTAGGTACTAATATTTTCTAACCAGTGTTTTAATAAATTTCAGTCTATGATATACATAATACATTTTCTCTTAACTTCGCATAGAAAAAGTATTTTCATTATTTTCTTGAAGAAATAAATAAAAATAATTAAGTTACTAAGTTACTAACAACTGTAGCTTTAACTTGCAATCAGTCTCAATCAATCCAGTAATTTTCTCATTCTTGATTGTATATCAGAAATACAAACAAAAACATTTTTTGTGTATCAACTTAGGTAGTCGTAATTCACTAACTCTTAGACATTACCAAAAAGCAAAAAATTGATTTTTCTAAAATACAATTTATAAATGTACCTACTATATAGGTATATACAGATTACAGACCGTACAATGCATAGAGTCTACACTGTTTAGTGTAGACCATTGTTTTAGATATATTTTCAAATTCAGGAAATCTTTATAAGTTCTGTACCTATCAAAAATATGCATATGTTACGGTTTCTTTTAAAACAATAATTTTAAACTGCTAAATGGTAGACATTAAGTCTCAACAGAAATTTCTTCAAATTAATATCACTCTACCATAGTCCATACATTAATGATAAAATATATTGTGCCAAAAATGTACCACCCAAACTCAATGCAATAATAATAATATTTTAATATATTATTGATTTTGCGGGGAATCGCACAAACGTGTGCGAGTCGTGCGTATTTCTTTATTTAATGTTATTAAACTATGTTACATTATAACAGCTACAACTACAGATCTAACCACAGACATAATATTTAAGGTGTTCAAAAGTATATTCATCGACCATCGTACCTAGTACTACCTATATAATATTACCTTGCAAACCTAACCGTCGAAATATATTCAGGCGGAAATCACGATTCGCGAGCTGGTCTGACAGTTTGAGGACGTCATCGCCGTGTGCTTCTCTGGTTTCTGCAGCCGACTTAGGCATACATATCGCCCGCACGTTCGCACGTGCGAACCACCACAGAATACAATTAGCTAGTCCAGGACGATCGCCAAATATCATATTAAATATAAGTAAAACGATAATATTATTATATAGCCGTATACGGGATTCGCATATTATATAGGTATTATAACACATGTTGTATGCGATGATGATATTTTAATGGCATTTGGCACGTACAACTGTAATAATTTCATTATCAATAATATTATAATTACGATACATCGTCGAAATATAATATCGTATTGTATTTACAATGGCCGATTATAATACAATAGAAGTATCATAGTAGACTCTATATAGGCATAAACAATTCATTCGCGATACTGTTTTCTAATGCAAAATATAAGCGAAATGGTTAATCGGAATATTTATACGCCCGTAATGCCGATAAAATAATGACACCTACGAGGCGTTTTCTGATATGTTTTTGAATAAAAGTGACCACAAAGATCGTGCATCTGGGCAGATGTGTTATTGCTGTTATTGTAGTAAGTATACTCTCCGAAGTATATACGACAGTAATAAGTATTCGACAGATGGTAATATTATTCGGACGGTATTATTTCGATTTTGTATCAGTCAGTCGAGGGAACATTTTTCAAACGTTCTAAAGTATACGTCCACTTGTCAACATAGTTGTCTATTGCAGGATAATTAAGTCGATGACGGAATTAATATAAAAATATTATTTCGAACTTAACTTAAGATGTAGACTTGAGTAGATAAGTAAAAAAAAAGGTACAATAAGGGTCATAGCGCGCATACCATCGAGTCAAGAGTTTTCCTCGATTGTTGCTTATACCTGCTTACCGAATAGAGACAATTTATCAACTCTTCAGATTCTCGAGTATTGTATAGGTATACCACCAATCAATCGTTCGCTAATCTATAACATTCCAAACGTATGATGTTGTCACGTCAACTACGGTAGACTGAAAAATAGTTCTTATATTTTTAATAAATACAATGTCGTATCTAATACCGTTTGCTGTTCCTGCGACAGCGACCGCATGCCTCTCATTCCAAATCGCCCACAATCGTCTAGTTCATAGGTCAGATAATAAATTGCTTGTCGTTGTTAACACAGCATCTTACGGATTGTTTGCATGAAATCATCTATTCGGATATTGGCGATAAAGACCTACAATTTTAAACGATTCGTCCGATATCTCAGATAATTGATCAGTTCGGTCGTTCGCACCGAAATCGCTGGGAAAAATACTAAAGATTACTTAAAGATTTTCGAGCAAACTAGTTGGATAATATACATATTCAAGGTTCTGAAGGGTCACCTAATAGATCGTCTCAATTTAGTATTATGCAATAATCAATGATTTTATATACCTACATGTTCTGCATTTTTAGAAAAGTATTCTTCTTATTCCAAACACTACAAAATTAAATCAAAAATGTATCTTTATTTCCGTGGAGACTAAAACTGTGTGCAGTACGACTAGTACGAGTATAGTACCACACACTTTAAGCACTACAAAATAAATAAGTTTGTAGCGACCAAATTATGAAATTTGATTCATTTAACATTGCCGACTGTTATTGATCGTATTGATTAGATATACAATTTCGATCCGAAGGCGGAAGGCCCCCGCGGGAAATGTATATAATATAAATTATGTTGATCTCTGTTTTGCCGTTTAAAAATCGTAAGTAGAGGCGGTGGGTTTGGCAACAGACAAGGGGGTGAAACGAATAAGGAAATTATATTTGTATATATTATATTCCTATAAATTATATAGAACATTTTGTAAACAGCGAATAGAGTTCGCCGTCAAAATGAACACCGATGTGCACATAATATATCTTACAGTATTTTAATTAATGAGGTATCTTCACTGAGTCCGCCGCCGTAACGATATATATATATATATATATTATATTATTATATTCTATGTAAACGCAATATACAGTTGCAGAAGACAAGCTGCTCGAGCGATCGTCGTCCCGCCAGTCATCGTCGAGCCGGCCGCGTGAGAATGTGCGTCGGTGCCTTGTACCTATGTCTTTCCACGAATAAGCTCATTATTATTATTATTATTATTATACACATCGGAATAGCAAACGTGCACCGTTAAAAAACTGCAATGTACATAGTACTTCGATTGCGGCCGTAACGCGGTCAACGTCGCAAGCTGTACACATGTATATAAAAAAAAAAAAGCGATAGAAAGGAGTGCGATTTGCGTGTGTGCGTGTTGTGATGGTCGTTTAAAACGCGGATGGGAGGAAAGAATAAGAAGAAGAAAATGCGCGGTCTATGTGAGAAATAATAATAATAGTAATCATTAAAAACGGCACAAAGTCGTACGTGACGCGGAAACCAAAACCGCGGGGACGCGGCGGTATAACCGGCTTAAAACGGAAGACGACTACGCGAAAAACTCACTAGAAGCAAAAAAATATATAAAAATAATACAATATATTACGCACGCAAACGTGTGTGTGTGTGTTCGAGCTCACGATATAAATTTGTCTTGTCACAACGAGGCGGGGAAATATCGTCGTCGTCGTCGTCGTCGTCGTTAATAGTGTGTGCACGAACGGACTATTTAGCGCAGCGCCAGATAGTCGTGTGGTATAATAGCGGTGTATAATATTATAATTATAATAATAAACGTCAGGTCGTCGAACGTATAAAAATCGTACGCCGCAGTTATTGGGCGGTGAGGTGTTCCGGAGTACAGATATGACAGATCATTATTATAGTGTAATATAGATCGATGATAATAATACAGGTGTGTATTATGTTATATTATGCACGTACGGTGTTAGGTGCACGCATCGTTATGGTTTGTATTTTATGATGTGAACCATTGATTTTACAATATTATTTTGTATTTATAAAATACCATAGCTGTATCTAATCCGACTCGGATCGTGAAAAAAAATGAAAGAATATATTAAGTACGGCGCTATAAATCGGTTTTAGTGTACCCCAGCTCGCGGAAACATGGGCGTCCGTACTCCGTACACCACCACACCACATGGTAGCTTTGTAAACTAATTCCACAGAGATGGTCAATCCACCCGTGGTGAATTGGATATATTTTAGAACACTTGGTATATTTTCGAACGTGGTTCAAAGTTCGAACTATTGTTTAAACTTCCCCGATGATATGATATCTCTAAGAATAATTTAAAATGTTCGGTAAAAACCTGGCCAAGTTTTTGATTATATTACATGGTACAATAACTGCATAATAATATTAAAAGCTACAAACATGCATACAAAAAAAAAATATATATAATATATCAAATTCACGTATACAACAAGTGTAAGTGCAATGCACTCCAAAACTACTCAACTGATTTTCATTAGATTATGCCCAATTATGCGTGTGATTTATTCCAACTTAAAATGTAAGATATTTGTTGTATCAAGTTGCCCTTAATATTTTTTTTGACCATTTAAGAAAGAATTTTTAGATTTTGAAATTTAAATTTTTGTTTATAATTGGTTGCTATTGGTTACAGCTTGCCAGCTTACAGTATTATTATAATTAATTGTTTTAAATATTTAATACAATAATATTATGGATACAAATTTTTTTTAAATTAATTTCTAAAAGTTTATCATACAGTTGGCATAAAAGTCTATTTTATTTCTGTAACCAATGGCAACCCTAAATTATACAAACAAACAAAAAAATATTCGAATTTCGTGATCCAAAACAATACCCATGCATGAGACACCCTATGACAACCTAATATTTTATTATAGTTATTGAAAAACGAAGTTTCGACACTCCCCGAGTCTCCGGGAATATGTGTGCAACATTTGGTGCCTATTGGTCAAGTATTTTCCAAGTCTAAATGTGCCCCATGCAAATCTCCGTACATTCCTCTTTGTATATTATACATTTAAAAATTATAAGATCAAGGATATCTGGATATACGAACTGCCCACGACACGTACACCATAACCGTTACGAGTGCAAAATAGATTGGCGCAACCCATAAATGTTTTAAAAGTGACTCTCGTCCGACTATACGCGTGTTAGTACTAACATTTTATATTATAAGCAATTGTCGTATCCGTATGTACCTACCTACCTATCGTTTTATTTTATATGTTTATAAAATGTATGATAATGATTATTGATTACAACGTGAGAGGTGTTGTACATATTATTATTATTATACCGTACGGCGTAGGTACATTAATTTTGCGTGTTTGAGGTTTCGAGCACATTACTGCATAATGTTTACCTGCTTTACATTTAAAAATAATTCTCTTACATGTATTTTTTTTAAACTTGGGTTTCAATTATTCGACTTATTTTCGAAGGAAATATATTTATTTAAATTCTTGTTCTCTGTAACTCTTGGCGATTAATTAAAACGCCGATAAAATATACGCTTTTGATCGCTATCTGCAAATACACATAAACACAGAATGATAATCTACTAGAGATTCGATGGAATAAAATTGCATACATAAATACAAACAGGTTCCCGCGATTGGTATATTTGATGTGCGTGTCGATGTAATTTAGAGCTTTGCACCCCGAAACCCATAAAACCAAAATGATTTTTTTTTTCCAAAACATCAAAATTAACTACAACCCGAAAACAACATTCCGGTTAACCTGAAACCCGAATAATTGTTTTATTTTACAAATTGCAAGTGAATACTAGTTCAATTTCGTAAATATATAGTTGCTTAAAAATAAACTAATTATAGGTACCTAGGTATAAATGTTTAAATAACTAAGGCATAAACATGCTGGTATTTATTATTTACATCTACCACCTGAAACCCGATTAACCCGAATAAATTATTCGTGTGCAATGCTCTTATGTAATATTATACATACATTTGTTTTAAATTGAAATTCATTAAAAAATATGTTTTTAATAATGAACAACATTAGTGTAGCTAAATAGCCTATCCAGAACGCCGCGTGATCAGAACATAAATTATTACTATGAAATTACGTATCATTAAAAATAAGAATCGTTACCTATTATAATATTAATCAGTTACTTCCTTAAAGAGTATAATATTATATTATTATAATAGACAGTGCCTACATATGCTTATAAATTATAATTTATAATTGTGGTTTACTATTATTTTTTGCAGACTATCCAGTTCACAGTCTTGTGGATATTGTTCCTGTCGATCGTACTTGGTAACGGAGCCGTACTGGTGGCGCTGTCGTTCAATAAGGCCCGCAAGAACCGAATGAACTTTTTTATCATGCACCTGGCACTGGCTGGCAAGTATAATTTTATGCGACACTTGCATTATTTAAATTATTTTTTGGCTAAAAATTGTTGATCATCTCTATTGTACAATAATAATATATACAAATCTACATTCAAATAATATAATACAACATAATACATTACGATTTGCAACGCGTCACTGTTGTATTGCTGTTTGTTTGTGTATTATTATTTTTTCTTATGAAAGTTTCGCAAGTCTACAACAGCTATAAATTATTACAAATTGATTATTTTAAAATATGCAACACTGTTCATTTCGAAGAGCATTGATCTTTTCGGAATTTCCTTCGTGTAAAATATAAAATTACACACTTGACTTGTAAATCTAACATTTTATATTACCGCTTTTCCACACTCATATTTGTTGGTAAAACCAATATCCGCTTAACAATAACCAAATGGCGACCAGTATTTATAATTTCATGAAATCTAAAACAGTGGATTTTTAAGATAATGTTAATCTGTTATAGACGTATATTCTGAGAGAATAGTTTTGATTTACAGTAATTTATTTACGAGGAAGAGCAGCTATAACTGTAGCGTCCTACCTGGCCATAAAATGTTTATTAGTGAAAAAAAAGTTCTTTGTATTATGATATTAATTATAGGTACTTTGAAATATTTAGATTTATATTCTGCTGCTGTATAATATAAAGAAATTAAAAATATATGTTGCCGTTAAAAAAATTTAATGTCATAGCAGTTTCACCAACAAACACATCGAATAAGAAAATAAATACATAATGGCAGCATAAAATATTATCTGTGTGGGTCTCTTAGTTATGCCTGGATAATTTCGAAAAATAGAGTTATAATCTTATTCGTATTAACGCGTGTTGAACGTTAAATAAAAATCTCTTCGCATATTAACATTATAATCTATACAAAATGTATTCAAATTATCCCGACGATGCGTCAGCCGCCGTTTGTACAGCGCCAGTGTATATGCCTACAATAATATATTACGTCACGTTATATTATGTTGTAGGTATGTTTGTACAAGTACCAGCTGTATATAATATACCTATATGATACAAGTAATTTATGTATACGGCGAAGAGTGAGTTATAAACGAATAGGAAATTATAAATTTTGCTTGTCGATTCATTATTATTAAGTACATTATGCGGCGGCTGCGTCGTGTCGTTGGCGCATATTACTATACCTATAAACCAAAGTCGAAACGACTTGCCACCATAATATCCTAATATATTACATTGCACTATAATATATACATCCGCGTCCGACAATCAAGCGTAATATACACGTATATTATATAGGAGGTACTTGTAATATATTACACATTATATAGGTACATGAACTACCTATAATAATGTACCTGTATATCATGCCTACTATTACTCATAGACGCATGAAATATACTGTTACACGCTTGTACTGCCTAAACGTGCCATGGATTACGACGATGACGATTTTAATTTTTAACGAGTGTTAGGTATACTCGATCGGTAGTAATTATCAATACCTACCTACCTATATATTGTTGTTGTTTTTATTATTACTATATAATTATTAATATTCTCAGCGTGCAGGTAATCAAAAAAAATTGCTTCACCGAAACCCGAATCGGCTTAAGTACCTATAACACACAACAATATTATTACTATATGGTATCGAATAAAATATAATTTGCACGTTTAGGTATGCACACATGCTATAAATATGACCAAATACATATATATATATATATATGTGTAAATTATACGGAATGGCGCAGCTATTTATTAGCGAAACCCATCGTTTAGGCCGATTTACAATATTCAAAAGTGATTATCCTTTAAATTACCGCAAAAGTTTTTTTTTATCATTAGTATACCTACATAATATTTATTCGATTTCAATTTCAAACCCTGTATGGTTAATATAATATAATATAATATAGTATATAATATACGTGTCGTATTCATTGTTTCGAGCACAATAAGCCGAGTGCTCTATCCAAATTCTGAACTCCTCTTATAGAACCAGATTTCACTAAATCTTTTATTACTAATTGTAAAGACTTGCAGTACACTGTCGGAAATATATAACCTCATTCAAACTTATAAGTAACGGAGGTTCTGATAATACATTAACAAGACCATTAACACACGTTAAAAACGTCTTAAAACTCTATTCTACCATTTGTGACGAAAACGTAAATACAGTTAATTATATTGTGATCAGTAATGACGTTAACTTATTTGTGTTTCTGAACAGACTTATTGGTGGGACTGGTGAGCGTTATGATCGACATGATATGGAGAACAACCGTCACCTGGTCAGCCGGTCCGATTGCTTGCAAAGTCGTCAAGTATTTACAGGTAAAGTATATTTAAGTATATATTATATAAATATAATTAATTGTGCCACTGATCGACACTTTTGTTTTCATTAGACAAAGGGACGTTTGAAGTCTAATTTATATACTACTGTACCTATATTACATATTATATTATATATTTGTTGTTGGAGACTTTAACGCTCCACGCAGATATGTATTATTTTTATATTATTTACTTGTGACATATCCTATGGCTAACAACCAAACTGCAATAAACAATGATGCATATACAATCGATAATACTAATAAACTTTTAACTATAATGGCTTAAATTTAAGTTACTTATATATTTATAAACATTTTTAACTTATATATGTGTGTCTGCGTTACAATAAATTAAATAATAACAAAGTAGGTAAAAACATTTTTTTAATCTAAATTGTAAGTAATTAAAATTTAAAAACAACTTTTCCAACTTTACTAATAATCAACCGCAGCTGTTTACTCGGCTACATAATAATATTATACCACTGTAGAAACACGTTTTGTTACCGACATAGAGTAACACTGCTGTTGATCCAAGCTCATATTAAAATATAGTTGATATTAAGACCCCATGACTACATTTCCAGTACAACAGAGGTGTATAATTACCTCACTCTTGATCGGCACTACAGCAGAGTATAAGTGATTTCCCACGGTATTGATCTTTCGGAAATCGCAAGCAACGCGTTCGTCCTGCAAGGAGGGAAAAACAAATTAAATAAACGCGTACATATTATAATAGAATATAATTATACGTAAACGACCTCGTGTTGTTCGTTAGTGTAAATTTAATTGATAATAATATATATTATAACACAACTGCATAATAATAATATTATGGGAGTTTCGTCAATCCGTCGTGCGCGCGTGTCAGTCGTTGCCACAACCACTGCAGCAGATTTATTATTCGTAAACGTATGGTGAGATTTTTTTCCATTGCAAAAGTTAATAATAACATCGTTTATATTATACTTATATTATTACGTGTACAGATGCACAGTGAGTCACCGCGTTTTTCCATTTTCCATTTTTCTAGCATTACCTATATATAAGAAAACATTAACACTCCGTGGCTTATTCTGTATACACTATATATAGCCTATATAGGGAATGGTGTGGTTAACTTTGCATGTATTTTTGACTGCTGTTTGTGTGTATCCACACTTAATGATTAGATTTTGATACATGTAGAACAGTGTGGAATGGCCGGAGGGGAGTTACGGTAAATGGTAATAGGCTAGAGCGAAAAATCAAAACAGCTAAAAATATTTTCTTAAACGCTGTGGGTTCACAAATGGACATTTGATTTTTATATTCTTCCATCTTTGGTAGAAACTATGGTTATATTATAGTGTTTATTGGTCATTAAATTGTACTTTATAGTCTTATCAAATTAGTTTTTTTAGTACAAGTTTTTTATAACTTATATATTACATTATCAATTAATATTATAGCATTTCAAGATCGGCCCAACCCTAAAAAAAATAAAAAATCACAGTTAGAAAGAGAAGGGGGGACCATTCCTACTATTTCTGGTACATACATTGGTTCCAACTTGATTGCAAAGATCATAAAAGTTTAGATTTTTGTATGATGGATTTATTCCAATCACTATTATAGATTATACCTATATTGGGTATTTAAATGATTGGAAATTATTAGACACTATAGTATAAATAATATTTTGTGCTATAAGGTTTAAGAAATAAAATTGAACGACTGAAAATGTTTATTTCATGTTTTTACCTAAAAGTGGTCGTGTATTCTACCTATAGATATAGTATTCAATATTATAAGTATACGGTATACATAATATGTATAATATATCTTTGTAAGATTACTAAGATTGTATCACTGTGGTATTATCCATCAGTAAGTGTTTACTGTAATAGTATAACAATCATGTTTATTCTAATACGATATTATTTAGGTACCTATATATACGTTATAGTATTATTCGACTTACTTACTTACATACATACATACTTACATATTATATACCTACTCAAAATAAAAATCTAAAAAAGTTTGTACTCATAACTAATGTTAAGGGATAATTTATGTAAAAAGATGTTGAGTGAATTCAGTATAACGTTCAAACAATTATTTGATTTTTTCATTATATCGAGAGTAGGTACCAAAGCAAACGAGTACCCGTATATAAAATAGTATAATGGATATTAAAATTGTGCGTTATAATTTAATTATAATGATAAATACTTACATAAATAATGTAATATTAAATAATAAATAATGAGTAGACGGACGGACGGAATAGGTGTGTACGAGGATAAACAAGTTCGCAAAACGTTCGACGGAAGGTTCTAATCATTCTAACCGCCAGATAACCATATTTATATGACTAAAAAGACCATTTAGCTAACCGTTTAAAAGCATAATATTAATATATATTTATACATTCGTTTCAGGTGGTCGTCACGTATTCGTCTACGTACGTCCTGGTCGCACTCAGCATCGACAGATACGACGCCATCACGCACCCGATGAACTTTTCCAGTAGCTGTATGAGAAGAAAAACAACGAAAACGGAATTTTTTATTAAAATTGATTTTATTTTCAGGGCGTCGGGCCAGAGCATTGATCGGATGTGCTTGGATTTTGAGTTTTGTTTTCGCCGTACCCAGTGTATTTATTAACGAAGAGACTATAATAGAAGGTATAATATACCGACCATATCTATAATTTCCAAATAAATACCAAACAGAAACATTTATAATATTTTCCTATAATTGTATGATATTAATATATGTATTATGCAGGTATACCTTCACGTACACTTGGGTATAATTTTTTTGAATCTCTAATTTTTTGTAATATTGTCAGCTATATGATTAATAGACAATGCGCGGGTACCCCAAATTATAGTAATTATTACTATATGCGTTTCATGTTTAAAGTCTCTATATATAAAGCAGAGATACCTATTAAAATATAAACATCTATAAAAAAAAATAGAAATTTGATGTATAACTGTATATAAAAATAAACATTATTTAATTTATATTTGTTCTTCAAATATTTGCCATGTTTCGTTCTCTGCGTATTTCTGCGGCCACCCTTATAACGACTTATACACAGTTTCCAGTTTCCGAGCTCTGCACCTTATAAATAAAATAAATACCATGACACGTATACTATAATATGATATGTACACAATACATATTTAAGTATTTCTTTATACATATATATATATAACTATATAAATCAACCCTTATTTTTAAGTAAAAGACGGCAAAAAGTGTACAGTTTGAAATGCGAAATGTGCGTTACGGGTTTGAGAAATCTATACAAGTAAATAATGTTTACATAAAAATTAGGTATAATAATAGAGATAATTAATTTGCCTTAAGACAACAATGGTATATAATAAATATGTATAAACGCGTTTCCCTAGAAGCAAGTCTGAACAAGAAGGATAACGAAGACTCAAGTATCGGATCAAATAATGTTTTAATTAAATTTCCTATATAAAATCAAGTATCCATCAATTGTTTTGTACTTCAAAAGTATATTTCCCAAGTTTTAAAATAAAAATAATGTAACTACTAAACCGCAATTCGATGAAAATAAATTAAAGAACTTATTGTTAAAATAACTTTAGCCAATTTTTCTCATTATAATGATTTGGAATTTGTACCCCCCCCCCTGTACATAACTATAAATTATCTTAATGTACGAAGCATATTGTTTAGTACGATTTTGTGTATAAAAAATATAAATAATAAATATGGGCTGATAATTGTAACAGTACAGTAAAAAAATTATATTTTTACATTGTGTGCAGCTCGCACAATACTAGTATTTATAATCAATGATAATACATAGTAGGTACACGTGTCGGTTTCCGATTTACCTACTCAAAACAAAAAATTAAAAACTATTTTATTTGGCACTAATATAATAATATATGTTGGGAATGTTTTAACAGTCGAACTATATCGATTCACTTACCTATATATGTAGGTGCTCAAATGGAGATTTAAGTAGTATAGCTTAGGCTGGGGGCGGGAAAGAAGATTGGTAGGTAGTCCCGGACTACTAGTCCGGCTGTGTCCTAGGAAAAACACGATTGAACCTTAGACACAATACATATAACCAGGGCTCGTAAGTTCATGCATCTGCATGTTTTTTTTGCTACACAGGAAAACATGCTAACTGAGATACAAATCCGTTTCATAACAATAGTAATAATAATATGAAGTTTGATAGTGCATGTTTTTGCATGTTTTGGGTGTAAAGTCATATTTGGCATATAGTTGATTTATTACAGTCGTTAGTGCATATTATTTCATAAAAATATTTTTTAGACAAATATTTGAAAAGTTTTTTCCGATTTTTGATATCTTGTTCCAATCGTCCAATATCGCATGGTAAATTATAACGGTTTTTTAAATTTTTTATTGATTAATTATTTAGCTAATTAATAAAAATATCGAAAATCGGGCTTCTTACGATTGTAAAAAAAGTTTTACTCTACAATTTTTATAATAGGTATTTTTACTGTAAGCCACTTCAATAAGCCGTATTACTTGAATTACGAAACCATGGTTTTATGCCATATTTTGTCTACTAGTGTGCCCTCTTAAGTTGGAAAACATAAAAAATACACTTATAAAATATATATTACTAAATTATCTCAAAATGAAAAATCTAATATTTAATTCCAAATGTTTTCATTGTTGGTGCATTGTTGGTGCTGAATAAGGGTGTACAAAAATTAGACAAAAATGACTACCTAATTAAAATTTATAAAGATATCAAAGCTATTTGAACTTCACAAGTATTAATTTTATTTTTTATTTTATTAATTTTGACTGTTAAATATATAAAAATAAAAAGGAATAAAATACTTTTAAAATATATGGATTTATTCTAACTTTAAAATTTGGTCATGTTTTTTTTACATAATGCATATTTTGAGTTTATAATTTAAAAATGTGAAGGCATATAAATGCATATTTTCGAACTTTTAAGTGCATATTTTAATGCATATTTTGACAATTTTTAGTGCATGAATGCATGCTTATTTATGCATTTTTTAGTGCATGAAGTTACGAGCCCTGCATATAACATACGTATTAATATTATATTATACAAGGCACATCGTCTTATTATGCGTAATCGTGTTATCTATATATAATATTATACTGATTATTTTATTACTGAATACATTCCACCCGTTGGAACTACTATACCTAAATTAAATTATAAAAGTACTCGTCGTCGTCTCTTCTGTAGAGTTTTTCTACTATATTATAGCACTCGTCTTATACATAATATGTCTCGATTAGATTTTACGAAAAACAAAAGATCACTAACCGTATAATCGTTTACTGCTCGCAAACGTAATAATATACCTAATGGTTATATTTTTTTCACTAGTAGGTACTTTTAATTTTACCAACGCTTCGAATCGTCGTCGATGGATGCAGAACGCAGACTTCGGAATCGACTAACCCCCCCCCCCCCAACCTCACACGTCACAGTGGCTTACATTAACAATCATAATATTATTATCGTGTAAATAGTGTTGCAGCGAGTGGTTTCAATATAGTTTCGCATGGACGCATACAATTATGCCATCGTCCATTGGCGTAGACGATGCTAAACTATATTATACACGCGCTGAAGTCATAGTAGAATTTAAAATCGTACCTCCTCGTAGTTTCTATAAAATTTTCGATTACGATGCTATACATAATTGTTGTAAACTGCACTGGCGATTGTTAACTTTTACTAGTTCACGAAATAAAACAGACAAAAAAACAACCATTCGCAAATATATTATTTCGTTACTGTATTATATATTATTGTGTTATGTTATCTCAGTCTCGTCGTATTTGTCCATCGACCAATCGTTGTATAGTCAGTTCTACGATATACACTCCTCTACTCCAAACATTATAAACCATCATAAATATTAGAATACTTAATTGAAATTGGTAAATACCCATTTTATATATTTACATATATATTAACATAATCAACTCTTTAAAAAATACGAAATCCCATTTTAAAAATATTAACTAGAAAATTAGAGTAATAAAAGCCCCTCGTGTAATCTAATTACATTTTGTTGTTAATACTTAGCACATTAAATACATTATAGTGTTTAAAATAATATATATTAAGCATTTAATTAATTGAAATCTACAATATTACATTTAAAAATAATAATAAGTTGACCATGGGAAAATGTTTGATATTATTAAAGTACTTACATTAACTATTTGATTAGATATTAGCTCAAAACTATAGTAGGGGAAGGTCTATTATATTTTATATTCGATAACAATATTATGTTTTTGTCCTTCACATTTTCCCATCCTAATTCATTCGTTAATTTTGAAAACAAATTAGGACTCTTGGTCACGTCTACTAAGTTTTGTCAGGAGTGATATTTCATATTTAAATATTGGCCCCCGCTTAAAGATTAAAGTACACATGATTAAAATAGGCACACATAATTTGAATACCAAGCTAAAACAAAGGTGGGTAAGTGGATGTCGATCTGCTGTACAGTAGGTTACAAGTAAGTCACTGTAATGGATGGTGTTAAATTTGAGTTCAATGTTTTAATATCATTGTACAAGAAAAATGATTCTGAGCGAAAACAGTCAGTCAGCCTATGATATTACGAAGTATATTTGATAATATTAAGGTAAATTAAGTAATTGATATAAGTATAACCTATTTACGTGGAATCTTATTTTAAATGTTCAATCTTTAGCTATAAAAGTTGAACATATTATACATTTTTTACTACAAAATTATTATTAAATTTTAAATGTGATAAATTTTCTCAAAATTTTTACTTTTGATCCAACAAAGTACCAACTAGATTCACTTTCCTATCAGAAAAGATTCTGTTGAAGAAAATCTTAACATTTTTACTGTCCTGAAAGGTGATGACAGGCAAAAAATTAAAATTAATAAATAAAAAAAAAAACACATATCATTGTAAAATCAATACATTCGGTTCACTCAGAATCTAAAACATTAGTTTCATAATTTTATATTCTTAAGTACAATAATGAAAAACGATTACAATAGTATCGCAGTCTTGTTTGAATGTTATAGGTAGATATATTATGGTTGGTAGGTGGGTAGGATTTTAGTTTTTAAGTTTTAAGCATATTACTATAACATTAGGTATATTATATAATATTTCACAATAAATACGAAGAATAATAAAAAAACTTATAATGAATAGAATCTTACATGGGGATTGTGGAGTAGTAAAGTAGACTGGACATTTTTAGCGAATCACAGTCATCGTATAATACGATAATATAATTCTTATAACTCTCAAAAATTGTAACGAATTTAAAGCAACGTTTTCCTTGACCCACAGGTCGCACTCAGTGTTGGATCGAAATGTCTCCTTGGCAATGGAAACTGTACATAAGCATAGTGGCGACGACGGTGTTCGTCGTGCCGGCAATAGTCATCAGCGGATGTTACGCCATTATCGTGTACACGATCTGGTCCAAAAGCAAACTCCTGTCACCGGCCAAAAATAACACTCTACAACGCGGCACCAAAAGTGAATTATTATAATTAATTATCGATTGTGATGTAGGAAGTAGACCTATTATAGTACTAACGTAGCCCAATCTAACCGATACACAGTAATCGCAGTTGGCGGGCGCAAATAGATAGGTATGTCGCAAGAGAGATGTGATGGGGAGTGCTGTACGGGAAAGTAGGTACTCTGGAAATCAGTCTGGTACTTATCCTTCCTCCCCCCGAAATATTTTAATTCAAACCTATTCTCTGTTGTGGTCTTTGTTTGACATATAATCTTATTTTGTTGTACCTATTATACTAGTATATGGATTCAAATAGTTAGGTACCTATCCAAAATATTTGCACTCCCGAAAATATATATTATCTAATTGCGCCTGACTTGTACATGGTATTGGTCACTTACTATACAGTTACAGTATACATTATCCAGTAACAGACAACAGACGACTTATTTAATACTATTATAAACACATAGTGTATTTACACTTACACATGTATACACAATACACATAAGTACATAACACACACACAATACACATGCTTGTATAGTTGTACCTATACCTATGCCCGATGCCGTATGGAAAGGAATAACTAAAATGTTAACTAATGATAACTAAGATGATACTAGTTATTATACTATAGACTTTTTGTTCAGATTTTGTATTTAAAAAAAATATTTTTACATTTGGTTTACTTGTAGCGTAAAAAATCTAACATTTATATTTTTTATAAGTACTAACACAGTTTTTTACAATATTTTAAAATGGTAATTTTTAGGTTGTTTGTTTTTTTTTTTATTTATAATCGAATTTTATAGTTTATTGTAGGTATTGTATTTTAATATTTTAATAAAATACAAAAATTTAAAAAAATATGTTTAGGTATATGTATTAAGTTTAGGTGCCTACTTAAAATTAACAAATAATAAACAATAAAGCATAATGTTTAATAATTAATTTAACTTTTATAAAAAAATATAGAATTTGAACAAACAGTAGGTATCTATTTTATACATAACATAATTAATTTAAAAAGAACTTTAAAAATCACCATTATAAAAATTGTAAAAATGAATATGCTAATTAACGAAAATAAAGTATTATGCATGCGGTATTTCAAAGTTCATACTATTTAGAAGACGTATAAAAGCATTTTTTTTTTAAATATGGATACGATATACAAAAAAAAAAAAATTAATTACAACTTAATTGGTCCATCTCGCCGTTATAACACAACAATAACGATTGCAACAGTAACTCGGGTTGTATTTATAACAATATAATAATATATAATAATGTCAATTTGGGACGTTAACCACCCATTATTACAGAGCCCGAAGAGCACGACATCAGAAGGTCCAGTTCACGGGGCATCATACCGAAAGCGAAAATCAAGACCGTAAAAATGACATTCGTCATTGTGTTTGGTCAGTATACATACTACTTACAATATATAAACCTATTATTATTGTTATTATTTTTCGTCTTACAATCGTATAAATAAATGCAATAGTCATATTATTCACTGGAATAATTATCGTGCAATAATATTGGTGGAGGCCAATGGTAGGTACCTACAGTCTACATGGCGCCTACCTGCCAAATAAAAACACAATCGACACGATACAAATAGAGTCACAGTCCATCATTTCGTTCCAATTTTTTTTTTCAAAACATTGTATCTCATCATTAATTACCATAAATCATAATACATAAGTTTTTTAATTTGTATTTACCGAATTGAGACGGATAAATTAATGCGGTTTAAAAGATAAATTGAATACCTATAATTAAAACCAACAATCAATATATCTATATAGTTACTTTAGTTTAAACGATTCTTGCGTAAATTTTAACTAAGTAAATTTCAGTTTGTTCTTATTTTAAATATAAAATATGTATTTCATATATTTTTGAGATACCACGAGGAACATACTGTTTTGAATTTCCATACGATTTCTGAACAATTGGCAACAACGACCGTGGCGACTTAGCCCTAGGTTCCTACCTGCTTATTCCAAAATAATATAAAGTACTTACTAATAATCGTAATAATATAATATTAGACAAATCACAAATGTTCAAATGTCTTATACGAGAGCAGGGCTGTAATTCTTCTTTCGCCGCGTGTATCTGTCCCAGTGGCCTCTATATAGTATCTTTAATCCTGGCTTGCCCGTCACGTCGACTCTCAGCCTGTGGAATAGTAGGTCTATAAAAACCGTGTTCGTGGTGCAGGCGACGATTGTATACCTATATAAAACTCGAATGGTTTTTCTTTTCGCTGCCGTTTTTCCAGTGTTCATCCTGTGCTGGAGCCCGTACATAGTGTTCGACCTGCTACAAGTGTACGGCTACATACCGAAAACGCAATCGAGCGTAGCCCTAGCAACGTTCATACAGAGCCTGGCGCCACTGAATTCTGCCGCCAACCCCATCATATACTGCTTGTTCTCCACTCACATTTGCAGATCTCTCAGGTACAGAGTATACTATGGTATATATATATACTTATTATTGTCTACGTCTCCACGGCGAAAATAATAATAATATTGATATATATCACGTCCAGGGTGAGCGAGACCCGCGGAGAAGGGGGACATCGTACTTATGATTCCTGTCATTAACCAACAAAATACACAGCAAACTCGTAAATCTTGTCTTGTTTTAAATACTAAATTACTTTGTATACCTTTCAAATATTAATGTAATATGTAAATATACTTAAAAACAATAATGTACTGTTACATCCAATGGCCATAGACGCCGCGGATAGTTGTTTAATAAAAAAAAAAAAAAAAAAAACTCGTAAATAGTAAATACCAAATACTATACCAAAGAAATGTATAATACTTACTGAAAACATAATACTACTAATAGCAGTGTACTATCGTATCGCATAATATTCGTATTAATATAATACATATATATGTAGGCTAATGGCTAATATTATATATAGGCCGAGAAAACTAAACAATTTTTTTAACTCATAAGTAGTTTTAGGTATATGCGAGAAATAAAAGTAGCAATGACCAAAATTAGTATAATAATATTTTATCACCTCGGGTTGCAATCATGCCAAGAGAAACGTTTTTTAAAAGTACTTAGGTGATTAAATAAATTTTAGATAGTAGATATATTAATATCTGGTGAATTAGACGCCTAATAGACATTTTAAAGTTCCAAAGTTTTTAAATTACATTTTAATATATTATTATAAAAAAATTAAGTTAAAGAAGTTAATTAAAGAACAAAAATAGTTATATACCTCGTTGAGACGTAGGTTATTTAATTTAAAGTTAATTTTATACATAATACACCACTAACACTTTAACATTTATTAATAAAAAAAAAACAGAAAAATACTATACAAACTGCGGCTATCAATACCAGTGTGGATTTTTCTGCACTAGCGTTTTGAACAGAGCTTATAAGCATAATATTGAGCACACGATAGCTGTAACTTTTATCACCGTAGGAAATAAAATTTCCCTCTCCGTACCTTGGAAAAACCATAATCCCCACTGGCGCGACTGATGTGTGAGAGCAGTATATAGGTAGGTAATTTCGTAGACACGAGATCGAGAAATCCGAAAACCACATCATCGTTAAGAAATATTATATTATCATATTATGGCTCCAATAACCAAAAGATTAGATACGACCAAAAATAAAAATCTAAATCTATTTTTTAAGTATATCTATATAATATACGATAAAATACAGTCTGATAAAAACGTTCTCTCTACATTATTGAATACAATAAATTTTATTACACCACAATATACCTACCTAATGCATTATAAACGAATATGCTCATCATACTTTTCACTACGTTTCGTTTACTAACATCTACTGCACACATACGACCCGATTTTTGCGATTTGGAATTGGAACGACTCCTATTTTTCCTCGTAATAAAATATTGTTGAGTAAAAAACACTGACTCTATATTCGAGATCCCTAGTTACATACTTACATTTGTATACATACGATATTTTAACTTAAAAGCATACAATAGATTAAGTGTATAACTGTATAAGCATTTTATATACTCATAATATACTTATACAATTTTTTTTTAAATCAAAATATCGAAAAATAAAAATCGACAAGAGAGCTCGATTATATTCATAATATTAAAACTTGCATTACTGTTGAGCGTTGTGTATAGTAAGTTATGTTATCCTTATGTTCTACAATAGGTAAATTCACTCCAATACAAAAAAAAACATAAACTTAATTGAAAATGAGTAGGTGCGTCAATGTTGGTGTGTTATGCGTAAAAGATAGAAACAATGATATAATGATCACATAATGACGTATATTTACGTATATCACATATTTTTTGGGTCGATCGGTGGTTAGCTTTAGTGTTTAATTTTATGATTCTAAATTCGAATAATTAATTTAAATTATATTTTCAAAGATTTAACTGTTTATAGATTCGTATCGTCAAATAAAATATAATAGATAATGGATATACCTTGGATCATGATGCAATCGAAAAATTAGAACCTCCCTGTCCCTCTACCCGGTCTACCCACACCGTGAACGTTATATAGCCGCAGCGTCACATCCGTCATAATCAGATCACTACAACGTTTTTCATAATATATTCAGGCAAGTGCCGCCGTTCAGATGGTTGTTGTGTTGCCGGAACGGAACACAAGAGCAACTGAGCTACACGGAAACACTAACATCGTCTAATCGACAGGTGAACACATCTCTGCTGAGGAACGCCACCGTACACGTGCACTCGGTGGTCAGGGCTCCTGTGTTAGACCGAATGGGCATATCGACGGAGAAGAACAGCTACGCCGATTCGCTGCTTTAAGAAGGCCGGCACTCCATATGCACCCCACGACGTATTACTATTATTATTATTATTATTATAATGATTAATAATGTTAAATTATATGAGTACATTATAAGAACATCATATTATTATTATTATTATTAATATTCTGTCCCCCGTCCCTTTGTGCAAACGCGTTATTATTATATAAACTATACAGCCATTATAATATTATAATATACATTTCTATATAATTATTAAAACATTATTACATTATTATTATTATTACTACAATAATTACTATTACTACCTATTATTATTATTATTATTACTATTATAAATATTAATTATAACTATACTACCATAAACGTTAGGTTATATTCTGTCGACTGACTTCGTCCCTAAAAATACAATATTATTATGTGTACAAACCTTCGATATATATATTATAATTATTAATATTATGTATTCCTTATTGTTGCCTGGATTCCTATTCGTACTTACGTCTTTAACCAATATTATGTAAATAATTTTTGTTTTAAATCATCGGTAATAAAATACAATAGCTTAATAACCACTTAACATGTATTTGTCTATTACAATAACAAAACAAAAAACATAAAATAATTTCTACATTATAATAACTACAGTAAGCTCTGGTGTTTTGATGTCCAACCTTCTTTGATTCTTATATTTTAAGTAAGTACCTTATACGGCTGGCACACAACAGCACTTGAAAGGTGCTGCTCCACCTGATATATTTATGTTTAAACAGAAAACAATTTTGAAACTGAACTAAACACACTTAAACACTGATGTAATCAGATGGATTTTAGTGGGCGTCGGAGACCGACGAATATGTTTATTTGTAATGTGTTTGGTGACGTTCAGTCATTTGTCATCAGTTCCACTTTTCTTAGCTTTGATAATACCTTTCAGTTCGTTCAGTCTTTCTTCAGTATTATCATAGTTGTATCTGCATGCAATCCTGTTAACAATTTATCAATAAATATAATATAGTTCAGTACCCGGTTTAAATGTTTAATTTGTATAGTGATATTCAGCCACACGGTCGTAATTAAAAAAAAAATAATAACTGACGACGGTCTGTGATGTATAGTACTATATAGAAGCAGGAGTTGCCTATTTAAGCTGTGTAAAATACAGGTAAATTTGTTATAAGACATACACATAGACATAACTAACTTTCTATTTCATAAATTAGCCCCAAGTAAACTCCAAAACATCAGAAATATTGCGTAGAACTTGCTTTTGTAAAAATCATCAAAATCGTACTTTTAGAAATTAAGTTATAAATGAAAAAGTGCGAACTTTTTAATGGAAATTTATGTTAAATTCAGAAACACGGTAGCCGCCGTCGTCGTCGTTGCATCAGCCTTTGCCATTGTGACATTGTTACCAACAATATTACCGTTCTTATAGATTATTGTGTAAATATTAAATACTCATCGAACCCGCGACCGCCAGCGCCGCAGACGACGTGTTCGACCGCTCGGCCACCTCGTCCCCCTAATATTGATGTATATTCTATATTCGGATCTAACTTTAAAATATATATTTGCTACCTATGTAGTATGTATAATGATGTACCTATTTCAGTGCAAAATCTAATGTGCGGTCATACCTATAGGTAGTTAATATATTATTATTGTACAACAACTGTCAAAACTCACATACCTTCAAAAAGTGATTTCCTATACTACAAAAGATAGGTATCAGGTTTTGTTCGGATTAGGATATTACGACTCAAGTCAATAATTATGTAGAAAATATGGTATCGGTACATGCACGTATACACGGGGGTTTAATGGTTCAAACCAGCTAAACCGAAATGTTTTCAAACAATATTATTTTTGGACATGCAGTATTATATTATTATTTTACCAATGTAAAATACAATTTTGATTTTTTTTAAATATTATTTTGTAACAACTATTTGAGTCAATTTGACTATATTAAGCGTTCTACACAATACACATTATTATTGTTTACAATTCTTGTATGGTTTATATAACCGTCCATATCGTATCCGCCGGTGTAATGCGTTATTTTATGATTCATTCCGCAGTCATTCGTCGCCCTTATATAGTGCTTGATGGCTTGAATTTTTCTTGGAACATACTCTTGGATACTACTTTTGGATTATACTCTATATAATCGACCAATGAGGTTTTTTATTTAAAATATATATTTTAACGATTTTTAGTCGTTAAATCTGTAAAAGTTGATTATACTTATACACTCAACAAAACGAAAAAAAAGAAACAATATTTTCTTGTGTTCACAAAATATGTTTATTACAGTAGAAAAGGCCGCAAATTAGAAAAAAAAAACCGAAATTTAAATGTGTGAACAACAATTTAACAATTTAGAATTTTGAAATGACTTAAGTTTAAAGAAAAAAAAAATACTACGACGGACAGGATAGACACAATAAACAAGGGGGGGAGGATGCGAGATGGCGATTGGTGCAGAAATGCAGTGTTGCTGGCCACTGGTCACCTCTGCACGTTCTCCGACCTGTCCCCGCGGGTTGACGAGTGTCCCTGGCGCGTTTGCTCGGACGCTTGACGACCTTGCCCAGCAGGCGAGGCCAGACCGAGACGGCCACGGGAGCGACCACGGTTGAAGGCGACGGACGGCGGCTAGTGCGCGATGTCTTGCGCGTACCGACGGTTGACGGCGTGACGACTCGGGCCGACGGACGGCGAAGACCCAGACACTGAGCGAGCGAAGTGAGATTCTGTGCTGCGGAACCGGTGGAGACGACAGAAGCGGCCGACGTGGGATTACCGCGGGGCGAAAAGGCGAGAGCCAGCGGTCCACAGCGTGATCCTCGACTCTCGGTAATTTTCGCCCTGGCGTTGTCCCTTCGGCCGCCAGACCCTGAAACGGTTAAGTTTCTGCGAGTCCGCCGCCGCTGACGTCCCCGTGTTCCTAGCACGCAAATCTCCGTACCACTCACCCCGTGCCTAGGTCTCCGCCGCTGCCGTCGTACAGAGTCGCCATCGCCGTCGCACCGAGTCGGTGTACCGTCGGGGCGGAATCGTTGCCCGGTACCTCTATACTAGCCGCCGTGTCGTCGCCGTCGCTCGGCGTGACCGTAACTGCGGTCGGGCGCTCACCGAGCCGCAAGAGGGTCTCGCGCGTCATCGACGACCGAGCTCGCCACGCCAGCTAACCCGTCGCGGCGCGGGTGCAGGTCGGAGAACGTGCGCGGGTGACTTATCACCGCGCACCGTCCGTGCTCTTTCCCGCATCCTCCGCTCCATTCCGTCGCCGTCTTCCTGTCCGCCGTCTTCGCCCAGGGGGGCGAGCTTCGGACGTCTCCTTATCGGCGGCAGAAGCAGCAAAGGCTGCGGAAGAAGCGTCTCAGGCTCTTCCACCTCTTTGGAGGCGCATCGCTGCGGACTTCAGGTGCTTCGGCCGCCGGGTCTGACCAACCGACAAGCTCGCCAAAATTGTTGAACGCCGCTTCTCCCCTGGCGGTCTCGATCTTTTCGTCCCGCACTTCTGGACCCAAAATGGAAAGGTCCTCAGCTGCTTCCAAAACTTTGGAATCTCCGTCTTCCCGCACAGTCGTGTCTTCGTCGCCGAGCGGTGCTGTCGTTGGGATCGGAGTTAGCTCCGACTCTGCAGCACACGACAGCGCGTCGCCGCTCGGCATTCCACCACCGTGCGAGTAGACGGTCTTCTCGACGTCTTCTGTCGACGCCTCTCCCACTGCACCTCCGAGAGTCGAGTCTCCGGACTCCGACTCCTGCAGGGTCTGAACGTCACCTGCAGTAGTGGTGACCGTGTCAATGGCAGACAGGATGGGCGCGACTAGACGAACGAGATATTCTTCCGTTTTATCAGCAAGAGCTCCTTCCATTTTGTCCGTAAAAATATCCTCCAGCATTTCCATCAATAACACGTTTACCGCAGCGCGGTCGATGTCGCGGTTGTTAGTTGCCATACTTATGTTTTGAATAACGAAGATAATTTTTGAGTGTACTTTACGATTCGATCGAGAGTTAGAAATGAGCTAAATAAGAATATTTCAACACATAGACGGATCTCCGAGAAAATCTCCCAGACGACGGTGTGTGTTACTAGCCAGCTAGTATGTTTATCGTTCTGGTCGGCCCGCAGCATTAGAATTTCGAGCGCGTTAACAATAATAATATAATAACAATTTTATTTTATTTGCAAACAATTCCCAACCCATTTTTAATTATATAAATACAGTTGTAAGTTTGCTGACCTCCTATAAGCAAAAGCTTGGGTTGAAGGTGAGAGGTTCTCAAATTAGACATCAAATTTAAATTCAAATAATAACAGTAAAGTACAATATAAGATTTACTTAATACAAAATAGAGCGTTCATTTTTCCAAAGACCACTATTATTATTGATATATATGTTACCGTCAATGTCGTAAATTCAGGTAATGATGATATTGACTAGCCAATTAATATAATGCCTTGGTAACTTGGTCATTATCTATAATCAACATATATTTGTAACATTGACTTGATAAATCAGACGATGTTATAATTTGATAGATTCACTAGTTATTATAACATATCCTATCTTCTTGTAGTCAATGTTATCTTTTATCGTTTTAACTTTAAAAACCCACGTGAAGATTAGGTATCTGTTTTATAACGAATAATAATAGGTATCTTTTATAGTATTAATACTCACGGCAACTAACCTATAACATAAGTATTGTTACATACTTACAGTCTACGTTGTACTTTCGTATAATATAGTTTATAGTTTCGTATAGTTTTTCGTTTCAGTGTTGAATTGTTTTATTAAAAAAATGAATTCAAATGAAATGCGTCAAAAATTTTACAACGCATTATCTGATTTATTGAAAAATAAACGTGAAGATAATATATCATTTTTAAACAAAGAGAAATATATGTTTCTTATATTTTTTTTTCATTGTTTTTTCTTAAATAGTAAATATAATATATTATATCTAAAATTATCAATGGCTACATAGTTTTAGTCAATAATGACAATGACTGCTCAATCATAGAAATTATGTATTAATATTAAATTTGTTCTATTATTGTCTATCTTAGTTAGGTATTCTCTAAAATGACTAGCCAATAATATCAATGCCTATGTAAAACAGTCAGTGTTAACATAGACTAGTCATTTTTAACAATACCTAATTATCATCATTGGCTGTAACATATACACTAAGTAATACCTTATAAGTAGGTAATAAACTAATAAATATAAAATTATAAGGATACATAGTTTATTGGTATAAATTTATTTACTATTTTGTGATGACATAAAAGTCATAATTTGTGTCAACAACAATGTTTTGTTATCATTTATTTTGAAAAAATGCTCAAAAGTGAAAAAGAAGAATACTTCTATAATTAATAAGATGTTTAGAACTGCGCAAATGAATATTATAGAAGAAGATTTACTATGAATTTCTGACATTTTCTAGATGGTTAGGCAGTTTAGTTTCTACAGTACCCATTACTTGAAATAGTAATGAAATCATTGGAACATAAACTTATTTGTTATTCATGAACATAGGCGGCACTTGGTAGAAACTTATGTGGGTGCAAACGTTTATGGTAATAACATTCACAAAGCCATAGGGAAGTTGCCCCCCAGTACCCCCTAATATATAACTATTGCTACAACAAATGTAGTTAAAAAAATGTCTTTATTAATAACTATTCCAATTGGGTCCCTGTATTTCAAATATGTACATGAATATGACAAAATATTATTAAAAAACAACTTTTTATTTTGACATAAATAATAATTAAAAAAAAAAAATTAACTGTGTGTAACATAATTATTACTAGGTATTTGTCAACTTCACTACTTCAGTGTCAAACGGCGACCTCTTATTGAAGCCTCAGCATCAAACTTGTCAATTATATTATCAAAATCTATAGGGTATTCTTTTTGTATATATAAGATTGCTGAACTGCTCAATAGCTCTTGACTCTTAAGTATGTTTTTAATGTCCGTAGAGCTGAGAAACTGCGTTCATTAGATGCAGTATTTGAAGGAATAGTTAAAAAAATCTTTAATATATTTGTATAATTTGGGAATCCTGTCTGAATATCTTTAGATCTAATATAATTTATCTTTTTTATAATTGTATCACATTCATGATTTATAAATAATCTATTTACTATTTTTATCTCACTTGATAAATCATTTGATTCTATTTTGTATGCATTACAAACTTCCCCTATTGACTGATTAGTAGGGTTTTTATTAAATAAGACATTATTCATAGAATTCAACAAACTTAAATAATTTTCTTTAAATTTACTCTTCATGCACATCATTACTGTATCTATAATTCCAAAAAATACATTTATACGAAAATGATCTTGAACAGTGTGTATAGTTTGTTTTTTGCCACCACCTAATTTTACTGAGTCGTATTCATACTGTACTGATTTAATGCGTGGTAGGTTAGGCTCACTAAAACCATTATTTTTTGAAACAATAGTAGCCTTTTCCCATACTTTCTGAAAATTGTCATCTGTTCTCAATTCTTCAAAACTTCTTATAGCTTAATTAGCTTACTGCATTATTTAATTATTATTATTAGTACAATTAATTAATTATTTAATTAACTAATTAATTGAGTAATCAGATATAAAATATTGAAATGATCCATGGTTATTTTTTAATATCAAAATTACATTATATCAGTATAATTGTTAACAGTAAAATAATTAAAATATTTTTTACTGTTGTGATTGTCTGTGTGTGGGTGCAAAATGATACTTTTGCCCCCCCAGAAAAATTGTCGTGGGTGCAACTGCACCCTCATGCCCCCCCTAGTTGCCGCCTATGTTCATGAATATAAATAACATGGTTGGTTATACATGTATAATATTTATTGTACGTCTATATGGTTTTCAATAAATATTTTAATTCATTTTATATATTTCCTAAAGAGATTATATGATTTTGATTGGAACAATTTTTAAATTTAAATTATAAAATATACATAAGCAGTATATACAGTGGAACACAAACTTACAATCAATAAGCTAATAAAAGAAAATTCAGATACAAATTCAATTTGAAATCACAATGGTCATTGTATGAATACTGGAATATTCCAAACTTGTTGCATGACAAAGAAGGTAATCTGGAGGTGGCTGCCTCTTAAGTTTTTTAAGGGGTGATGGGTGGTAAATGGCCAATGGTTAATAATTTAACTTTAGTGCCTATATCGGGTTTTGGTGGGTGTAATATTAGACTAACTGCTATATTAGACTGCTATATTTTTAAGAATATATGAGTTTTTATACGTAATTATATTATATTTACTACTACATGTGTAAATACAATTGTCAGTATTAATGTTAGCCTAACTAAATAAATAATGAGGATATAAAATGAAAAAAAATATTTGGACAATTCGGTCCTCTTAAGAAAATATATATGAAATACTTGAATCAAACAAAAAGCATTATAATATTAAGATAGATATTATTATTATTATATTAGAAGCCACAATAATTATATGCTCGAGATATTATTATTGTGTACTTATATCATAAAAACTGACTCCCTCAAGTTGTAAAATATTTATTTATACATTTGATAAACAATAATTAATACTCATAATATAATATATAGATATGCTTACCAATAAACAGAAGATATTGTAATAAAAGAACCAAAACCGAAGTGTGTAGATCTTAATGTTCTACTTGTACACAAAAAATAGCCAATTCCCATAGTAAATCCACCGACTATGCCATACAGGAAACTGTTCCGAAAACAAGGAATTTTTGAGACATCTTTACCCAAAAACATCAAAGGCTGAAAAATATAATAGATATAACTATAAGATTATATAATAGGTAGGTATAAGGTTTTTGCAAATTATTGCCTACGTACTAAGATAAACAACATAGTAAGGCATATTTTAGTCTGTTGTCTGTGCCGCTAATCCATTATAGGCTAATAATAATAATAATTTGAAAACTGTATGTCACAATTTTTTCAAACAACAATTATTATTTACTTATTACAAATCAATATAAGTACATAAATTTGAAATGTTGCACTTTTACCTTATGATCTTCATCACTCGAAATCGACGCCATCGGTTATTCGATTTAATATCTTATAGTGCTCGCAAACTGAAATTGGTATCTTTTAATTTGTTACCTAAACACTAAAAAGTAGAAAGGTACTTTTGCTATTGCACATTTGCAGTTTTCACCTTAAATCCTGCCGGCAATCAGCACCGGTCGTGACCAGTGATACACCACAAGTAGTAACTACTAACTAGTGAGTACTAAGTACACATAAATAATATGTTACCACTTGCCATAGGACATAGCACGACAGTATGATTCAAGGAATATTTATTACTTAAAACACTAGTTGGTAGTTTGTTCAGTTTGTTGTAGAGAGTTAATATTATGAGATTTCTTTGATAGTTTGATCGTGCGACTGCGAAACTGAAAAATATTAATATTACGTTATCACATAATAATATCACAGAATAGATTAATATTACAGATGGATCGTAGAGTAATATAGATGGCACGGACTAAGATATACAGGACTGGACACGACAAGGTCGGAGGGTGTGGGGGGTTGACTACGAAATGTTTTACAACAGGCAGTGTTCGGGGGGATATTTTCCTTTTAGCATTACTAGCGCCGTCCTAGTGGATACTTATGGAACTAGAACACATCATACAAATTTCTAGTTCCATAAGTATCCACTAAGACGGCGCTAGTAATGCTAAAAGGAAAATATCCCCCCGAACTCCGCCTGTTGTAAAACATTTCGTAACCACAATATTCATCTCGTGTCCAGTCCTGTATATCTAAGTCCGTGATAGATGGATACAGCCGTTATCTACAGCCGTGATAATATTTTTATCAATAATTTCGGTATAAATCAGGTTTGCGGCCAAGGCTCGTTTTTCAAAGTTATTTTTTTCAAAATGCGTGTTTTAATAAAGCGCTGAATTTGAATGTGTTTGAAAAAATTGTCGCTCTTTTTTATTACGGAGGTTATACCAAAAAAACAATTGATTTTTCAAAACATCACGGTATCCTCGAAAAAAATAATAGAATACTACTTTTTTGACTAATTATTTTTTTAAATGTGTGTTTTGGTACGCTTAGGTTTTTGAAGCAATTACATTTTACTTATGGTACTTGATTTTTTATGGTATACCATAAAACCGGAAAACAATTTTTTTTTGTTCTAGCGAGTAACCCTGCACGGTTTCGAAGTGCACAATAATGCATTTGATTTTACCCTGTGACCTAGTTTAGGTGGTTTTGCACAAGTCGAGGGATATTTTCGATTTTTTTGTCCGACCGCAGCGCAGCGAACGAATCGTAACGCTAGCTGATTATATGCTTTTTAACAACTTTGTTTAATTTCAAGGCCTACACAAGGTGGTTTTACACAACAAATCGAGGCAAATTTTTGATTTCTTTTGTTAAAAAACGTAAAAAAAAAAATTGTCAAAGCGCTATGCGCGGCAGTCAAGTAGCGCTGAGCATGCTCATAAAAGTAAAATTATAAACATTGGAAGGCTATAGTTTCCGGTAAAATAAATTTAGACCATCGTTTTAAGCATGAAAAAACCACTTGAAAAAAAAAAACAGTGAGTGTTGTTGAACACTCGGCAGGAACGAAGTTCAGTGCATGTGATGCGAGACGCGGAAACATATATGGTTAGAAAAATATAAATAAATAGAGATAGAGAGAGAGAGAGACAGAGAGAGAAATGAATGCTTGTATAAATATATCGCGCGCATGGTAATAAAATTATAATAAATTTTTTCTGAGTATTATGAAAAAATGGTATTTTATTTTATAATCATTATAAAAGTACAAAGCAATTATGAAATTAATCAGTATTCTCAATAACAGTAACTATTGGTTTGTGGTAGCTGAATTAATATGTCACGTATGTTTGTGATTGAATTTTTTCTATATATCTCGAAATACTGCATCGATAGTGGTATTGTATCTTGTTGTAGATTCCGACGGATTATTATTGATGGTTAAGTCAAATTCTACTGAAAGAAATTTTAATAATGATACGGTTGATACAGCTTGTACTCGATTATCGTTTTTCAAAAGTAAATTTTAATTTCATTTGTTTAATAGATTTGTATGTTGTATGTATATAGAGAAGAAGGTAAATGGAAATCACAATGGAATTTATAAATTTAAGGGGCAAAAATTATTTTGAAAATAAAATTCTTATCACTTTCCTAATCAATAAAAACAATATTTATGAAAATCCCAATAAATCCCATCAAAAACTCAAAACCAAGAGTTTCCCCTTGGCGAGGTGGGTGTTAGTACTCTCCCGGACCAAAATCCATCAAAAAAGCAAAATCCAAAAGGGGGGGAGGAGGTGCCCCCGTTCCCTAAAGCGGAAAACTGTAGTCTTCATAATAAGAATGGGTCCCCCCTTGGTCCGAGGTCTTTAACTTGAATTCCGGCCGAGTTACACTCAACTCAAAATGTGGGGGGGTGGGGGCTTTGGTTCCCTAATGTTGAAAATTCATCTGGGGCCTAAAAAAATGAGATGCCCATTGGTCCGGGGTCTCTAAGTCGAATACCGGCTAAGTTATGCTTCGTCAAAAATAATTACTCGTTTAATGGGTCCCCCCCCACTCCGCCCGACGATCACCTCTACGCGCGTGACGACCGATGTTGGGTAGCCTACGCGAATGGAACCGCAGTGTTGCCAGATGGTACGATCCTAGTGGGGACATACGATAATATGAGAGGAGGGAGGGGATATGTAAGCCGGCAGCCGAGCAGTCAGGCACAGCCTGTCTAAATGTTGCGTTTTTCAGTGTTACGCTTTTCGGTGTTACGCTTTTTGGTGTTGCGATTTTTTTCCAGCGACTCCCATCCACCTAACGCCCCATAAGGAACTTCGTTCCAAAAATTTGAAAAACGAGCTTGGCCGTAAACTAGATTTGTTCCTATTTAGTTATTATAGATTTGTACAATACTTGTTTCATGTGGTACCTATTGTATTAACTGAACCTACTGGGCCCAGGATCGCCGTTTATTTTCTAAAATAAAATACCTAAATAATAATTAATTTATCAAAAACTATGTCAACATTTTAAATCTCAATGGTAGTTAATGACCAATGAATCTAAAATCATTAAGAATAAATAACTGAAGATAGCCTGTTGTACCACATAACAACACTCAGTGCGTGCAAATATGCAATCACAGTTGTCAGTAACCACTAATCGGCAGCGGTCGTATATAAATAAGACAATTTTAATTGTTGCGATTTTATTTCACTAATTTGTCGTGCATGAAGTAGGTCAATAAGTAATAGCTCCAACAAACTAAAACGAATAGACTAATAATAGTACTATCCTACTGTTGAACAAATATTACCAATATTACCTTTCGAAAAAGGTTATCTTAAATCTCAAGAGGACATCACACCCGCATGACATGTTGTCTTCGTCTTACACACATACGACATAGACAAAACGCGTTTAAGCAGTCTTAAGTATAACTCGCTCAATTTTAGTTCTTGGGTGAAAATACCTATTATAAAATTGAATTCTGACAATATTTCCGAGGTCAAGTCGTTGCGTTTTTTTTCTTAAATATAAATTTTGAATAGTTAAAGGTATTTTAAAAATTTTAAAATATTTTCTGTTCCTAAATGATATAATGAACGTTATTTGGGTATAATGGAAAAAATGCAACTACTTGCGTAATTCAATCAAACAATTTTAATAGTTGGTATTTTCCATCTAGATATCCAGTATTATTTTGAATATGCTCATACATTATTGTGATCAATACTTTGGAAACATCAAACACAAATCATATAAAAACTCCATCCAATAGTTACATTATACTTGCATAAAAATAAAAATATAATACTACTAAAGTATACAATATATTTTAGAGAACAAAAACCTTATAGGTAATTTATTTCGATAAAACGCATTGACACAGACCTAAAGGATATTTTCAGGTAAACAGTTTAGTCCTCAGAATATAAAATTAGTATAGTATAATTTTATTACAAATCAGGTAAATGGTTTGCAATAACAACAGTATATTATACATATAAACTGTAAATTTTATATTGTAATTGTTACATAAAAATGATCTAAATGGCAAAAACTGACAGCATTGAAAAAAAAAATGGTTTAGATTGTGATACAACATGCTTACATGTCATTAAAGATGCACTAGGTCGTTCGGTTTTTGATGTTTTCCGTTTAACAAATAGTATTTACATAACTCTACTTAATTTATTCGCTGAAACACGAACAATAATGTTTACTTTTAAAGAATACAAAAAATGTTTACGAGGACAACTTGTGTGAATGGATTTAGTATCATTTATATAAATTATGTATTTTTGGCCAAAGTTTCAGCTTTAGCAACTACTTCTTCAATGGGTCCAACCATGTAGAAAGCAATTTCGGGCAAATGATCGTAATCACCAGCTAAGATTTTTGAAAATCCCTAGAATTGACAAGAAAATATAAATAATTAAATAACTAATTAAAAACTATAAATTATAAATTATTTTATTTACTTTGATTGTTTCTTCAAGAGGAACCAATTTTCCAGGATGTCCAGTAAAGACCTCAGCTACTTGGAAAGGTTGGGACAAGAACCTCTGGATTTTCCTAGCCCTGGCAACTGTCAATTTGTCTTCTTCTGAGAGTTCATCCATACCCAAGATAGCAATGATATCTTGTAGTGATTTGTAGTCTTGTAATATTTTCTGTACTCCACGAGCAACATTGTAATGTTCTTCACCAATAACGTTGGGGTCCATAATACGGGATGTGGAATCTAATGGATCCACAGCTGGGTAGATACCCAACTCAGCAATAGCACGAGACAATACAGTCGTGGCATCTAAATGGGCAAAAGTTGTAGCTGGAGCAGGATCAGTTAAATCGTCAGCAGGTACGTAGATAGCCTATAAAAAACATTATTTGTGAAATAATTATCACAATTAAAAAAAAAAAAAAAAGGTTCTAATAAAATATGTTCTAAAACTATTTACCTGTACTGAGGTAATGGATCCTTTGCTGGTTGTGGTAATTCTCTCCTGCATAGTACCCATGTCAGTGGCCAAAGTTGGTTGATAACCTACAGCAGATGGAATACGACCCAACAAAGCAGATACTTCAGAACCAGCTTGTGTGAAACGGAAAATATTGTCAATGAAAAGCAATACATCTTGTCCTTCTTGATCTCTGAAGTATTCGGCAACGGTAAGACCGGTAAGAGCAACACGGGCACGAGCGCCGGGAGGTTCATTCATCTGACCATATACCAACGCTACCTAAAATAAGACAATCATTTTAAATAATTGTCTAATCTATTACATCTTGACTACAAAAATAATATACCTTTGAGGTTTTGTCTTTGAGGGAAATTACACCGGATTCAATCATTTCATGGTACAAGTCATTACCTTCACGGGTTCTTTCTCCTACACCAGCGAATACTGAGTAACCACCATGGGCCTTAGCAACGTTGTTGATCAGTTCCATAATCAATACAGTTTTTCCTACTCCAGCACCTCCGAACAAACCTAAGTACACAGATATATTTATAAATATAAACTTCATTGGGCAACTCATTAAATAATTACCAATTTTTCCTCCCTTTACATAAGGGGCCAATAAATCTACAACTTTGATTCCAGTGACCAAAATTTCTTGTTCAACACTCATTTCAACAAAAGGAGGTGCTTCAGCGTGAATGGGTGCAGTCTTATCAGTGTCGATGGGGCCTCTCTCATCAATTGGTTCACCTTAAAAATATATGATTATTTAAATGGTAAGAATGTTATAATTTTTTAACTATAATCTAATAGAAAATAAATATTTACCAATGACATTGATAATGCGACCTAAAGTTTCAGCACCAACTGGAATTCTGATTGGAGATCCACAGTCAAGTACTTCTTGTCCTCTGACAAGACCTTCAGTACCATCCATAGCAATAGTTCTGACAGTATTTTCACCTATAATAGAATAAATAACAAGGTTACAAATGTTTTTTAGTATTTAATGATGATTACAAAATATAATTACCCAAATGTTGGGCAACTTCAAGTACAAGACGTGGAGACCTGTTTTGTACTTCAAGAGCATTGAGGATGGGGGGTAGTTCTTCGTCGAATTGTACATCAACAACGGCACCAATAACAGCAACAATACGTCCTTGTGATGTACCAGCCATTGGCTTAGCAGCAGCTTTGTTGTTGGCTAAATTTAATAAATCATATATATCCATGAGTTTCAAAACAAAATCATCTATATTTTGCTCAATAAATGTATAGGTAAGTAATGAAAGTTCGAAAAACATTGTAAAATATGTAATAGGTCGGAAGTATTTTAATAAAAATATTTAAATATGTATGTTAAATAAATAAATATGTTTCTAGAAAATGCAAGTCTCATTTTTTGTTATATTCATTTTACTTTAATAATAGTTTGAAAATTAAAATTATATAAATTTAGTTATACATAAAAATCAAACTACCATATTATAATTCACATTTATCATAAATTTATTAGTCCGGTAGTGGATTTATTGAAATAGATTGTTGTATGTACCTACTTTATTTTTAATTATTTGTTTTATTTAATAATTTTATATAATATATATTTTTTTACCATAACTGACGTCGCCACAATTTTTATGCGGAATCGTGTTTATTCAGGTTTATTCAGGTGTTTATTCACATTATATTGTGTGCGAAATTGTGTGTTACCCAGTTGTACATGGAAATTTACCATCAAGAAATGATTATTTATAACAATAGTTAAGGACTACCAAAAAGAACAAATTAAATTTAGGTAATTTATTTTAATTACGGTTTTAGCATTTCACAAAAGACAGCTTATAAACCTCTCAAATAAATAGTTACTATATTTATTTGTTAATAGTTTTTTATCTATATAATTATATAAAAATATGTCAATTGAAAAAAGAGGTGTTAAATTATACGAGGAATACTTTATCTGATACTATACATAGGTATAAATCACCAAATTGAGTCTTTGGACATTGTAGTAATCGGTTAAGTTTTACACCACTTTTATACCTAGTACAATTATGCAATATTAATGCAACATAGATAGATTAATTAGGACGACGAGATAGGTCATAGGGACGACAAAAAAACATAGGGTCATCAGATACTTAAAACTAAACGGTTTTCAGAGGAAAACCATCCAAGGTCAAAAAAAGGTCATTTGTCGAAATTTAAGGAAACAGGATTTTCAAGTGAAAAACGCGACGGGCACGTCTTAACGAAACAGTTTTCCTTCTACGACTCCTATCCAAAGCACAGCAGAATCGAGGATAGGTATAACCCCAAAACATTAAAGGCAGCGGCGGCGGCCGGTGGGGCCATTACGGCGAACGATGGACCTAGGTACACGTCGAAAACCGCCTCGGTCGAGTTGACCCAGTAGTAAAAGGGCAAAACCAACGGAATTTTTCCGACGGTGAACCGAAAAAATCGACAAGTCGGCCGAATTTCGCCCCCGGGAACCGGCCAGCAAGATAAGAGAAAACGCCGCGCGAGACACGACGTCATACTCACAATTGGACGAGGTGGCGACCATGGCTTTTGGTAGCTCATTTTGCACGATTTTGGGCGTGAGGTTGGTCTTGCCGGCCTTCAGGGCCCCAATGGCCGCCCTGGACAACGCGTTCAACATAATTGGGCTGCGACGACGGTGGAAAAAAATTATATTGCACGGAAACGAGTCGAGCGAACGGCCGAGGTGAAATGTGTCGAGAGCAAGACGAGTCGCTGCGGGTAAGACCGGACAAAATGGACGACCTACGCCTATGCGGCCCGCGTCCCCCGCGCATCCGTCCCGATGACGGGCGCAGTGTGTTCACCTCTGCGGGACGAGCGCCGTCAGCTGTTCGCGGTGGAACATGTGTTTTCCCCAGATTACCGGACGGCCGGCAACACTGTATCTGAGTAAAAGAGATTGGCGCCAACCCTTAGATCATATACTATGGATGGAGCCACTGCATATTATTTTGAAGCCGATATTAGCGACGAGTCACCGAATTAGGTGATCGATATGCGCATGCGCGAAACAACTCGTTTAATATTAATATTATAACTGTCCCCATCCCAGCCGAGTCACAGAATTAGGTGTTCGATATGCGCATGCGCAACGCAACCTCTCGCATATTTATCAGCTGGTGATTATAATATTAATATTAAACGAGTTGTTTCGCGCATGCGCATATCGATCACCTAATTCGGTGACTCGTCGCTAATATCGGCTTCAACTTTTTGTATTGCTATAATACGCAGTGGCTCCATCCATAGTATATGATCTAAGCGCCAACCTCGACCGATGCGACCATTTTTTCCCATACATTTAGCTGAACGAGCGAAAGAACACACTTCCGGTAGCACGATTTCAATATTTTGAAAAGTAAATTTACTTTGTACTCCTCTTTTGTAAGTTTCCTCGGAAGTGGATTCTTATATTTTTCGTTTCGTCGCTATCTACAACTTGCCAAGTCAAGTCTAAGTTTATTTCGATTAATATTATATTAACTAAAAATAAAGTCTTATATCTATTTCCGAGCAAACCTAGAAAATAGACTAACGAATACGCTCATATTTTCACAACTAATATAAGTCGATCTAAACAAGGTGAATTTTTATCCTCTTTTGGTACTGTTTACATCAAATTTCTGCCCTACAGCCGGAGCAAAAGAATTTTCTTAGTGTTCGTTGACTTGTGCATGCGCGTATGGGTGTTAGAACATTTCTAAGTATCTTAGTACGATAAATAATACGACAGTACAAAATAAATCGTAAATCCGGAAATTCAAATTTCGTCGCGAAAAGTGCGATAACGGATTACACACACTAATGTTCATTTACTTCTCACACATTGACATAGGTAGTCTAAATGTACATGTAATATTAAATGCCTAAACATACTCCTTAAAACATGGTATGCTCTAGCCCCCTTAATAAATATATTGTTGCCTCGCCTCGTTCGTTTTTGATTTTGGTTTCTGTTCTTGAAATTACCGAAAGTTTATTAACTAATTGTTAACCGTTGCTAACTTGTAACTTGTAAGCATAAAACATAGACCTATTAATTAGGTTCTATAAATATAGATCTATGGCTGTAACACATATAAGTGTAACATTTGAAGTAGTTTTAATGGACATTAGTGATTGGTCCACTCAACCCTCCCTGACAGTAAACATTAGTCCATGTGACCATGTATCTTATTTAATATTATGTACCTATTACGTATTGTAATTTGTACTTATTGTAAACATATTATATATTCACTTTCTCAACAACAACAAAAGTGCAATTTAGGTATATCATGTAGCCATTTATTACGGCCCATAACTAGGTAGGTATGGGGCCGACGGTATTTTCGGTATATCGGTATTTTAAAAAAAGGTATACCGTAAAAAACCGTATACCTGAAATTTCGTCTAAACAGTATTCCGTTAAAAACATTATAAAATAGGATAACTTAAAAACCGTATAAACCAGTGTTTCCTATGCTTCAATATAGCAGTTGAGTACTCTATAATATAGTAGTAATTTTAGTCTAAAGATTTACCTACCTAATGAGTAATGGTATATCGTATATAAGCTATCGTGGTTATTGTATGTTTAAAAATACAAATATAAATTATATTTTAGACAACCATGACAGATGTCTATAAATAAATAACATGATTAAAAAAATAAACAAAAAATATAAATATTCTATAATTTAATAGTGTCATACTTTTATACATTTATAAGACATTTTGAAAGTCTTCGATTTAGAACTACCATGCACAATAATGTTATTAAAAAAAATATACATAAATAAATCATAAATGATAGTTCTAAAAAATGAACAGTTACAATTATTTTCTTAAAAATAACTATGAGGAAATTACTTAATAGTGGTAACTGGTACATTGGACTACAAGTATTATAGTGCATTTGTAAACCTGGAAAATCGTTATCCGTTTTTATATAATATGTAAACTTTAAAGCAATTTATTTCCTTTGACTTATCAATCCTAAACTAAAGATTGATCATGCCATTACAATTTATAAATTAGTGCTCATTGTTTTAACTCGTTCTTGACGTTCAAACTGTTCTGTGTCAATTTCAGTCTTACGCATACATTCTAAAGACGACGAAGTAATCATTGGTTGATGTTTGCAAATAGGTGGCCACCCAGGAGAAGAATCTAGTTCGGCTTTTACTGAATGATATATGTGTTCATTATTAGATTCATATGATCCCAATTTTAATTTTTTTGTTAGCAAATAATCAACAATGAAATACTCTATGCCCAGACATAAAATACAATCAACTACAGCTAATGTAACCACAATTATTGGGAATTCCATGAACGGAGGAAATTGCAATTGTAATAATTCTTTAATCCAATCAGCTGGGAACAAAGTTACATATGAACAAACAGCCGCCATAGTTAGTAAACTAGAGAAAAAGACTGTGTTTTTGTAAATTGGTCCTCGATATGGTTTTCCGTATGAAAATATTAGAGCCAATATTATGTATTGAAATTGAGAAACTGAATAAACTGCATAATTTTCATAACATCTATACTCTTTTGGATGAGTATAGTCGAATGGTTTAAACCAAGAAAAATTATGTACCAAGTAAAAAGATAAAACTTGTGTTGATACCATTACGAGTAGGTTTGCGACCATCGAAAATAAAGGGATAAATGATAACAGTCTTGTTAATGGAGGCTTTTTAAATAACGATCCCTGAAAGGCTTCATTTCTACCGAAAAAGAACATAAAGTTTACCACCAAACCAATATCAATAAACAAGTACTCAAAATCCGTCAAGTTACTATCTATGTTGTATAAAATAAACGTCGAAGTAAACTCCAATAAACTATAGAGAACCATAAATTTAAAAATTCCAAATGATGTCACAAGAGCTGCTCGCCCTTCTCGAATGATACGAGGCATACATGAAATATTTGCTACGTGTGATGTAAATGGCGATGCTACTGACGATTCTGCTTCTGATAATGAAACTCCGACATGTGCTGCTCGTAATGCTCCGCAATCGTTCGCACCATCGCCACACATGGCTAAAAATAACATTTAATATTATGTTTATGACACAAAATTAACCTTATGCAAGTAAACAATAATATTATGTTGTATCTCACCGACATGATAACCAATATATTGTAGTTCTTGTATTAACTGTTGCTTTTGTTCGGATGTCATTCTAGCAAATATAGCACCCTTAACTAGTATCCTAGGGAGAAGAATAGGAAATTTATCTCTAATGATAGCCCACGTTCGTCCAGTCATTGCAAAGCTGTAATCTCCGTTGACTCGAGCTTCTAGTTCTAAATCGTTTTTATTAGAATGATAGTTTTCAAACATGGTAGCTCTCTGTAGAAATAAAAATAATATAAGATACTATTTAAAGTTTAAACATTAATTTACTATGTACCATTGGTGATGTAATACCACTAGCTGTATAGTATATTTTTGGACTACATCCTTGACTTTCGTCAGCTGTTACGTCAACTACTGTCTTTGATGGCAAAACTATTCCACATTCTTTAGCTACACTAACAGCCGTTAAGATGTTATCACCTATAATAGTTATTTTAAATAATTTGTAAAAATTGTTTTTCATAATTGCATAGTATTCTTTACCTGTAACCATAATGATTTTCATATTCGCCCCTTGAAGTTCTTCAATAACAGGGGTAGTTTGGTCTTTTAGACGATTTTCTAAAATTACTAAACCAGCAAAAGTTAGATCACACTCAACTTCTTCTCGTCTTAATTTTGGAATTTGTACAAAGTTACAATTTTGAAGAACTTTATGAGCAAGAGCAATAACTCTATATCCTTCTTCAGTATATTCCCGTAATACAGTATTGGTCATGCTAGGCACTATGACATTAAACAAAATTGTAATACAATAATTTTATTTAAAAAAATATTAAGCTTATTTTTCTTACCAGTACTAGGAATACATAACGACTGAATCATTTCTGGCGACCCTTTTGTGTAAACAATAAAACGTGGGTCACCAATTGTTTTTGTAATCATACTCATTCGTTGAAGTGATGACGAGAAATGAAATTGATGTATAAGACCGATTTCTATTTGTTTTTCATCATTTGAAGTGTTTGGATTTCGCACAATTGAGGGTACTAATACATCGAACTTCGAAGCATCTGAAACTTCTAATTCTTCAAGACACCAAGCCGTTGACTCAAACATCTGAATAATATTCGTCATTTATCTAATACATATTATAATTCAAAATCAAAATTATCGATTGCTTACCTTTATGTCAAGTGGATCTCCTGAAACGGTTGAATTTAGTAGTGTCAATGAATGACAAGTCACCATACCCAATTTCAATGAATGATCGTTAGACAATGTTGTTACATCTCTAATAGGTGAACCTAGTTCATGATTATTTTCGACAGGTACTACCCCCCACATGTCCAAACCATCTTCTGTTAATGTTCCTGTCTGTATTTAAACAAATATTGTAATTTAAATTAGTACATTTTGTTTTTATAGTAAAAAATCTTACTTTATCAAAGCATATGCAATCTATTGATCCACAAACATTTATAACTCTCGAATTCATACAAGAAAGATGATGATTTTGAAGTCTTCGTAATGCATATAGTCTTCCAACCGTCATTGCAGCTGGGAGTGCTGGTGGAATAACTATTGTAAACAGATCCAAAGACTTAACTAGGATGTCAAATACTGTCAACCCTCTGGATGCCTATACAAAAATACTTTAGTATAACGATTTAAACTTTAACATGTTATCGTATTTACCTTTGACACTGCAGTATAAATTGAACCAGAAGTCGCAACAGCAGCCAAAATCCAAATAAATCGATACGTATCCTTATCAAACCTAAAGTCAGCCGGTGGAGGATATAGAATTGATCTTACCAATGATCCTTTTGCTGTCAAATAACCCGTTCTTAAGACTACTCCATGAACTTTTCTATCAGAAAAATATCTTGCTTGCAAAACTTTTGTTCCAGAAAATAAAGTATGATTTGCATCTTCACGTTCATTGTACAAGAGATTTATATTAGGTAATGCGGTCTTGAGCACCGGTACACTTTCACCTAAAAATAACATTTAACAATTAACTCCTATTTATTTCAAATAATTTATCAATAATATGAAATCTGACGTTTTTTTAAATAATTAAAATAATGATTCATGTTTACCTGTTAGCATACTTTCATTAACGACACACGTTCCACAAAGTAAAGCTATATCACATGGTACTTCAAATCCTATTCTAGGTACAACAATTATGTCACCCGGTACCAAATCTGTTGTGGAAATATCTTCATAAATAGCTTCAGAATTGGGTCCACCCATATCACGGCATACTGTCACTTTGTCTAGTGTATTTACAGTTTCTAATAAAGTCCTTTGGTTCTGAAACAAAGAAGATACTTGTTGTTTTTACTTGGTTCTGGGCATTATGAATATGTCCGTCTATAAAAATATTATCCATCGAGACAAGTATTACTTCATATACCTATTATAAATTATAATATTTATTAATTACCTCACGAGTTTGTATAACTGAAGATGTTATTCCAAAAACAGACATGATAACTATAGCTCCTAAATAATACACATAACCTTCTGAAAACCATACTACAAGAGAAAAAGCTTGGAAAATGTATAAAGGATTAAGAACTTCTAGCCATATTAGTGACATTATATTTTGAATAGGTACATTGATTTTGTTTTCTCCATAAATGCATTTTCTGTAATTCCATAAAATCAACATAAGCTTAAATGTTATGTTATTGAGAGATATACCTACAATGCTTGTAAATAATGTAATACCTGATTAATTGTTCTTGTACAGAGTAACCTTTATATGTATGTAGTTGTGCAGTTGTTAAACCTCGATCCAAACCGACAAGCTTTTGAAATTTCCCTTGAATATCACACCAAACATAGCAGATCTTTTTTATATCAACTGCTCTAATTTGACTTACATCTAATACAATAAAAATAACTATTAATATACATTTTCATTTTTTTTAAATATCATAGTGAAACAAGCCTTGACATGATCCATCATTTAAATGTATCCTAATGGATTTTACGTGGTCTTCTTCAATTGCAATAGAATCTAATTTGCTAATGTTATTGGTTAACAACAGTTCTTCTTTGCTAAAATTTAAAATACACAAACGTTTTATTAATTACCGATTTATACAACTTTTATTCAAATTACTAGATACTAATTAGGGAAAACTGGGTACAATTACGAAATTTTTCAAGATTAGATTTATTTCAGACAAAATTTAAACAAATTATGTAACAATATACATTTTCAGTCAATAAAGTATAATAAATCCTTTATATATGTGTGTGTGTTTGAATGCGAATTTTACAGGTGTTAAATAACAGTTGATAGAATTTTACCCCATACTATGAATAATAAAAACTATTGTAACAGCGTTTGGATCAAATATAACACAAGTCACATATTTTTTATTTTTTACTTTTCAATAGTACCTGAAATTTGACAGTTTTAGTCTGTTTAAATATGTCAGATGTCTAACATAAATAAAATAATACGTTTGTAAAAAAAAGAAAAGATGAATTTTCCAAATTATGGAAAAATTTCTGATTGATTTGTAAATCAATATAAAACTTAACCTAACTAAAAGTATGTAGGTATTCAAACCTAATGAACTTTTAATGAAAAAATAATGTCATAATTATAATGAGAAAACAAATAGATATAGAAATAGATAGAGTACCTACTCTGAAAAAAACCAAATCAAATTGGATGAAACTGGCCTTTATTTAAACATGGTAGGTACCTACCGGCTACCTGGTACATAAGTACATAACAAATATGAATTAAAAGAAGATACAAAACTCTGGAAGTGATTAACATATTTTGATATACAACAAAATAACTCAAAAAGATTGTTAAAGGAGAGGCCATTATTTATCGTTCCAATGTATGTACATATCTATATTGATGTCCATAAAAAAAAAAACTCTACATATTTATTTTCAATATATTTAAACTGCTATAAAATCAACGTATGAACAATCTTATATTTATCCTTAGCTGCTAAGAATGAAAATGTTATGCATTTTTAACTGACAAATAATTTGCATATTTTCGTATTTTAAACAAATTTTTGGAACTATTCTATCACTTGTAAAAAAAATTATTGTGATGAATGAAAAAATTGTGACTATATTTTTGATATTTATTAATTGCTGTATGAATGACTTATAAGGAACCTTAAATTAAATTTTAAAGTTTTGCACTAAAAACACAAACATTTTATGAAATATAAATCATTGAAAAATAACTAAAAAGGTAAATATCTCCAAATATCTATAAATATCATAATAAGGGGTAAAATATTTTTAAAATTATATCATAGATCTACTAAAGTACTATAAAATACTCATTTAAAAATTTGGTGAAAATTTCATGTTTCTGCGATTACGTATATTTTTTTTTTTTTTTGAATTTAAACAAAAAACAAAATAGATTTTGTTGAAAACTGGTACTTCGTAAATATTTTAAAGCTATTTTTTACCATGGATAATATTCTATTTTATGATTTTCTCCTCTAAAAGTACAAACTAGATTCAATTTTCTACCAGAGATCATCCTCAATAATTAAGGTTGAAACATTTTTACTGATATAAAAAGTGGCTTCAGACACACACAACAAAACACACATCATTGCATAATCAATACAGTTATTAGGTATTTTCAAAATCTTATTCATAAGGTGATATCGTTATCGCAAAGTGTATCCACGTCCTAATAAGTATATCATACAGTGGGACAACTTATACTGAAGTATTTGATTTTTGATTTTTCTTTATTGATTGTGCAATCAATTGTACAATTATACAATCGTACCCAGTCCCGTTTGGCATTTACTACAATATTAATAATTCATGGTAATTTAATTAAGCATTAAAGTAATTTAATACTCACTTGATTTTCTTGATGGACACGTTTTTTACTGGTCTTACAAAATACGATTTATACATCCCTTCATAACTTTCCTGAAAAATAAAATATTCTTCAATATGTTAGGTACACACGGTTTACAATAAGTGGGTAACTAATTCATAAAAACTTACCACGATAAGAACACGTTCTGCTTTATTAAGTGGACATCTTTTGTACATAGCGTACAATACCCAATGAGGCCACCAGTGAAATAATAAACGTATAAATCCCAAAGTCAAAAATATAAGAATCCATATAATAACAGCCATTGGTCCACTTCGTTTGTATCCATAAATCTCCTAGAATTTATAAAAATTGCATGTACCTATAATATTAGAAATTAGTTACAATGTTATTTATATTTTAATGTCTTCTTGATATTACAATTTGAAATGCTAAAATTGTGTAATAATGTAATATACCTTATTTGGGCTTATGTTAGGTCATATCATATTGGGAGTTAAGCTTAGGTATATAAAATAAATAATTCTAAAATGTAAAAATTATAATTAGTAATTTTCTACGTTGAACTGACCATTTCATCGTCTTCCCCAGCGTTGAGCAAAGAATTATCACTAATAATTGGTTCTTTCTTCGAATTTGTATTGAAGCCATTGTGTTTAAAAACTGCCCCTGAATCTATTTAGCATTAAAAAATAATTCATTAATTTTTTCTTTTCATTTACTACTTCTTCCTTTACTAAATGTAACTCTAAATAGTTTACCTGTAGGGCAGTTTTCATTTGATGCCATAGTCAGGAAATTTTAAAATTCCTAACGAACGTAATAGTCTGCGATTGTTAACCGTCGAACGTACAGGCATTCACGAGCCGTTCAGAAACCGCCTGAATTTGGCCTACTTGTAAGACCGCTATAATTCAAAAATGATATATAAATATTAACTGTATAAATAGTAAATACCAGATAATATAAATGTAAAGAGAAATAAATCATTAATTTGTAAGTACCTAGACAACAATTTTTCAGAAAACTTTTGTAAACTAGTAACATAATATTACTTAGTAAGTACCTGTCCCCTATCTAGGTAAAAAAATTCATAGTAAATTAATACTTTTAAGTAAAATCGTTTAGCAAATATTAGATATTTTTTTACCAAATAGCTGTAAATACTAAATAATATATATTAACACTTTGAAAGATTAAAAATATTTGTTACAATTTTGGCGTGTACCTTCACCTACTGGTTGAAGAGGCTTTTTATAATACATTGCCTAATAAAACTATACGTTTTTATGTAGGTACATAGTCTATATTATACAATTATTATACAAAATATAAATATTGTATGGATGGTAATTGGTAAATTACAATACTAATACCTATATCGGCTTAACATATTATAGTAAATATATATAACAATTGTAATATAACAGTTGTTTTAAACGTTTCATATTTAGAAAACACAGGTTAGGTTAATAATAGTTCTTAATCAACTCAGGTCTCAAACAATATAATAATTGTCCAGATTTTAATAGGTCTGTATCCCAGTTTTAGCTGGAGAAAAGGAATTCAGATTCTCAAAGTGAGGAACTCGAATAACACTTATAAGTCAATGTAATAGTTAAATAATATTTTTGAAGTTATACTTCTTTACGCAGGGTAGTGAGGAAAAAAAAAGCGAACGGGCGACGCGTACGAACGGGCGGCCGTACGAACGCGAACGCGTACATGTCCGTAAATAAATAAATATTGTCATGGTAATGTTGTTTTATTATATATTATAATCGGGCCATACTAATTAATATGAATAATTAATGATCGATTATTATTTATTATTATTATTATTATTATTATTATTATTATTATTATTATTCACTCACAAATCTATTGTCTCGATAAAAACAATACTACAAACAATTATCCATCGATCTGTCGAATAAAAATATAAAAAAAATAATAAAACTATCAATAATAAATAATTCCGGATACTTCTTCTCATTTTTTAAATTAATTAATATTTTTTTCTTTCTTTTTCACTCACCCACGTGTACCATTCAAAAGAAGTTTAACTTCCCGCGCGCGTACTGGTAACACACATTTTTTTCTTTTTCACTGCATAGGTAATCGTTAAAAATTATATACAGGCCAGTACAATGATCTCGGGTTCAGCGATCTACAAAATATCATTCCCCGTTGAACAAATAAATGTATCTATACCTTAACAGTTGCAGTTCAAACAGCTAATATACACTTTTTTTACAAAACACTTCACACTCGCTTTTTATGATTTTTTAGTAAAATGGTCAAAGAAATTAACATGTATATTGTATATAGTTTATATAAATGTTTATCGTTTAGAAGAACGGTGGCTAAATCAATATTACAATCATACTCATAATATTATAACATTAAAGAAATTTCGAAATTATTATTTTATAAGACAAATTATGTAACACAATGGCACTTGTCACAATACCTAGTTTAGTCTTTAATAAAATCTGTGTATACATAATTATAATATTGACATTATAAACGAGAGATAGCGAAATGATTGAACAATACAATACAACGACATTATACTCCTACCCGATGTGTATTAATCTCACTCGTTGGTTTATTTATTACTTCTATGTCCTTCTTCAGCCTTTCTCTCACACAGTAAAATGTCTTATTTTCTTTTGATAACTATTTTTGGGCTGTGAGGAAACTACAGTTAATAGTTAATACATTATATATTCATATGTTGACACATTATTTGAATCAAACAATAAAAAATAAAAACATTTTTTAAAAACTCTAAGATTGACAAAATTTTAATTTTAAACTCAAAAAATGTGTAAATAAAAACTGTTATATTTCAATCCGTTCGTAAGGAATTAATGTGTATTTAAAATTATTATTATAATTTATTAGTTATTAATTTCGTATTCACGAGAGCCCTATGAGGATCTGCAGGGTTTCAAGACCACAACCCGTCAACCACCACAAATCTAACTTCTTTTTGGAATCATTAGTTATAAGCTATATACAACTCTTATACTCTTATACTCTATATACAACTATTAATTACTTATTTGTTTTAATTTTAAAATTTTACTTAAAATAGTAAATACTATATGTATCACTGCACTAAGTGAATCAGTTAAAATATGAACAATACAAATTAAGAATATTAGAATAACATAATAATATAAAAATATGACCATATTTTGTCCATTTACTTTTCAGAATAATAAAATAAATAATTCACTTGACACTTGTATGCACACATAGATATTAAAGTTTTGTATAATAGGTAAACTGCAGTTCCTGCTGTACTCTATAATTTTAATGAATATTAGTAAACGTTTATACGAACTGCGACTATATATATACACTTTAACGAGCATTTTATACAGATCAAAATAATATTATATATCTAATAATAATTTGAGGTATTTTATAATTTTGTCATTGAATCAAAGTACGTATCAACTTATAGAATTAGCGAGTCCGTTATCTTTTACCTACTTAATTAAAAATCCCAATTCTGTTCACGTGGTAATTGTTACATAAAAATAAATAAATATACGTTCAAACTAATCATACAACTTAAGAGGACGTGTTACCCGCATGTGTTGTCTCCGTCTTACAAGTGCGTAACATAGCAAATTCTACGCAAAGCAAAACACTTGTAGTTTCGTTAGTTTAAAAATTAGAGTGAATTGACCTCTTATAAAATCTAAAGGTAAGATTATTATCTAGACAACCTCTCGGGTTTTTTATTATATTTTTATTTTTAAGCGAGCTATGAGTATTTTAAAATTGTAAATTGTTTATAGATCTTGAAGTACTCATAACTAGCTTAAAAATTAAAATATTATAAAAAGCCCATGACGTTGTCTAGATAATAATCATACCTTTAGATTTTATAAGAGGTTAATTTACTCTAATTTTTAAATTAACGGAGCTACACGAATTTTGCTTAAAATTTTCTATGTTATGCACTTGTAAGACGGAGACACATGCGGGTATCACGTCCTCTTAATCGATGAAAACATAATATTAATAATATTATGAAATACATTATAACTCACTAAAACAGTACAAAATATTAATTATTCAGATATTTTCAAATACATATTAAAAAGTGGGTACATAATATAAAATTATTAGTTACACAATTTTTAAAGTTCTATACCTTTTTTGCATTTGAGTTGAACTAGTTTTTATGGTTAACCAATTTTTAAGTCAAAAGTCAGTATGTTTTAGTTATTTAATCGATGTAAGTATGTTTATAAATACAAACATTTTTTTTTAATAAATAGCATAATGTACCTAACTAAATATTTCAAGAAAAACTATAGCTAACTTAGTTAAATATTGTATATAATATCACAATTATAGATTAACATTCTACAATAATCCACGAGAAAAAAATAAGCTGATCAGTGATAATAATCTAAATTGTATCAACAAATGTATTTATTGCCTCAGTACCTTACACTTCAAGCAATTACGCAAACGTGCGCTTAACCTTAAATAATATTCTATTGACAATTCAATAATCAACCATTTTGACTTTTGTATAATAAAAAAGTGAGATATTAATGTTACATCAGTTAGATTTGTATTATTATATATTATCTACAAACTATAAATTAATTTATATAATATAATGGGTACATGCACCATAGGGATTCATAGAATTTAATATTTTTGGTAATATTTTGATAACTAAAAATTGATTTTTGAACGAATATTTATTTCTTATAACTTATAGAATAAAGTATCAAGCAAAATGTTTACCCACTACTCCGGTAAAAATAGTCTGCTTCGGAATATGTAATTAAATATGTTATGGTATCATTCAAAATAAGTAAAAAACTTTTAAAAAATAATAATAACGATAACAATAAAAAATATATTGTTTTTTAAATATTGTTTTGCAATGACATCAAATGAAGTAAAAAAAGTTAAAACTTTTCGTAGGTATAATAATGAATAATGACACTTAAATTGGTCACTTTGTATGTGCATATTAAATAATATGATATATACCTACCTAACTTACATCAACAAATAATTAAAACACTGGAGTATAATAATTATAATTTTGTATTATAAAAATAAATAAAATCTATATAATATAATATAAAATACAATTGTGTCTAATTAATATAGTAAGGTACAATATTCATTATAATGTGTTGCTTAAGTGTTTGCATGTACTGTATAATGTGTAATATAGGGTACAATATATTGTACCATACTACCGTATACGTGTATGTGTAGATATTAAATAATTTTTTATGAATAACTAAAAAATAATAAGCAGTTTTAACTTGAAAAAAAAATATTTTAGTAATTGTAGTTAAAATAAATATATGCCAATAAAATTTCAAATATTTACTCACGCTTAAGGTAGGAGTAGAAAATATCCTAACTATATGTTCGGATACTTCACTTTATATTCGACACTAGGCGGATACTGAACGCGACGTTCCGAGGGTCAGTATAGTTTGATATCTTGGTTTGTGTTTCAGTTTAATAAAATTTGCATGCTATTGTACATCTATACTAGGCTTATGCGTAGATGCTCAATGAGTAGTAATTAAAGCTATTAACGATCTACAGTGGTTGTTTTCTCATCAAGTCAGTCAAATCAAGGGCAAACTTGAAGAGTTTATTTTGACTTACCTTCTAAAGACTAGTTTTTTTATTAAAATATTTTTGATTTGTAAAAATGTCATAACCATGGTTCTAAAATAAAAAAAAATAAGTATTATTTTCAAATAATATAATGTGATTAA